GGGAGGGAGGGAAATGCACGGGACTATGGTGGTGGCACAGGGGTGATTTGGTGATGGGAAACCCGTGGGGATTACAATTGAGATGAAAAATAAAATGTGCAAAATGATGTAAAAAAAAAAAATTAAAAGGTATTGTGGTTTCACTGGAATCTCAGCGAACAGACCTGACAGAGCAGGCGGTACTTACAGAAGGTGCTGCACTGGGGACTTGGAGAGAAAGGCCTGGTGAATCACCTTAAGTGATGCCGCAGCCCGGAGGTCAAGGAAGAAGACAGAGCCCCCCTCGGTCCCCACCGCTGCGGACAGCGAGGAGGGAGAGCACGCCAGAACATTCGCCTTTGGAAATAAACCCCCAGAGCCATCAATACATTGCACCAGAAAAAGCAAAGACTGTCCACTACATGTGAGGATTCTACAGTTACTCAGAATGTCTGGACAGTGACGTGGGGAGGGCTATCCAAGCAGCAGGTGAATTACACTCAATGATGCCAAGCAAATCGACTACATAAGCAGTTGCAGGGAATCTCTATATCTTATTCTTTCATCCTACAACCTGAATGATAAAAATACAAAACATTCCCTGAACTTTAAGCCATGACATCATTTTTAACCCCAAGTGATTATACAAATAATAGTGAAAAATAAAATGAGAACAATGTTGTTTTTACACTGTTTCAGCTTATGAAGCTTTTCATAGGAACACTATACTTGTGGCTAGCAGGGGAAACTTGCACCCATTTCTAATATAATAACCGAAAGAAGAAGAAATATTAAAATTCACCCCTTCACATCATCTTTTACACGAGTGACAAACAGATGTTTAAAATCCTCACCCCTCTCCCTACCCAAGGATCTATGTAAATAGGAATTGCCCACTTCTTTAGGTTTTGCTTCAAACATCTGCTCTGTAATCGGCAGAGGGAAGAGGAGAGATTTGGAGAACTTCCACTGCTCTTTTTACAAAGCTTCATTGAATTCTGGGCCAGACATGGGGAGCACCTGTGCTGGGAGCTGTGGTTTATCCTCACTGGAGGACACCACTGCACTGTGGGGAACTGGACAGCTTGACCCACAATGCTGAAGCCAGATCTCCCTGCATTTGGTGCTCTTACTTACTGGAGTATTCAGGTAAATTCTGCTGATGCAAGTACCATCCTCTATATGCCAAACACAAACTTCCCCTGACTCTGTAAGTGTCTGTAAAAGAAAGAAAAACCCTAAATGGAGAACAGTATTCTGCTGAGCATCAAGTCCTCTACCCCTAAGTCACTCTGAACCTTCAGTATAAAATGTTCTTTTGCTTACTTGTATTATAACTTCAGTCCTTCTGATTTGGACAGATATTAATTAGCATCTTTAAAAAATTTAAGTATTAAACATTAGAACTAGAAAAGTGAAAAGTGAAATTTTTTTCTTAGATAACATCATTGAGATGAAAATTATTTGGAGTTTCAGTGGGATTATTGCCTAGTGAGTAACCTAGATAGAAGAAGTTAGAACTTGCTATTTGTAAATTAAAGCACTTTGCTTTTAAGAGCAGTTTTAGGATTCCAGAAAAATGTAGCAGGACGTGCTGACTTGCATGTACCCTCCCACCCTCACATACAAACAGTTTCCTCTCTCATTGACACCTTGTATTTGTGTGGTACGTTAGTTATAATTGATAAGCCAGTATTGGTATGTTATTATTGACAAAGTCCATCTTTTATACTGAGTTTTGAAAATGTATAATGACAGCCTGCTGTTACAATATCTTACAGGTAGTTTCATGACCTTAAAATCCTCTGTGTCCTACCTCTTCACCCACCCTATACAAAATCCCTGTGAAGCACTGATCTTAATTCTGTCCCCATGGCTTTACCTTTGCCAGATGTCATATAGAGGGATTTTTTTCTAGAATCAGTTTGGCTTTTTTCACTTAGCAATATGCATTTGTTTCCTCAATGTTTTTCATGGCGATAATAGCTCATTACTCTTTTGACTCAATAAGCAATAGATTCTTAGAATAAGATCATTTAGAATACTATTAGCTGAATAGTACTCTATTGTATGGATTTACCAGTTTATCCACTCTTCTATCAAAGGACATCCTGGTTACTTGCAAGTTTTCTCAATAACGAATACAATGGTTACAAACACTCATATGCAGGTTTTTGCATGGACATAGTTTTCAACTAACTTGGGAAATACCAAGAAGCTCAATTACTGAATCATGAGTATGTTTAGTTTGGAAGAAACTAAACTGCTTTCTACAATGACTATATCATTTCACATTCTCATCACCAGTGAATGAGGGTTTCTTTGGCACTTGGTCAACTGTTTTTGGACTCTAAGTGGTGGCTTCTCATGTTTAAATTTGTGACTTTCTAATGAAAATTACATTGAGTATCTTTTCAATTGTTTGTTTTCTGTCTGTGTGTCTTCTGTATAAGATGTTTGTCAGTGTTTTTGGCCCATTTTTAATGGGGCTGTTTATGTCCCTATTGTATATATTAGCACCATGCTTTTACCAGGTATGTTTTGTATAGTGGTTTGCTCTTTAATTTCAATTTCTAGTGGACCTAAGAATTGTTGGTGTTAATGTGTTCAGCTTTGACTCTTTATCAAATAATACATAGAAGCAAAATCATATAAACAACATCTCAAGAGTATGAAAACTCCTAAGGTGGTCACTTTTTTATCAGCTAGACCCCAAACAAACAATAGAGTATGTGAAAAGTGAAACATGTTTCTTGAGATCAATAGCAGTTAAATAGTAAAGCACCAGAACAAAATTTTTTCCCTAAAGATAGAAGGTGGGGTTTGTTCCTAAGTCAACTGAATTCATGTTTTGTGCATAGCAAATACTGCATTTGTTTTGAATGGGATTGCATTGCTCTAAAGGAAGCAAATACTAAAATTTTAATGAGTGTGGACACCTCACCACATTAGCAGGGAACACATTTAAGATCTGGTGTGGAACGTTTGAATGGAGACCATAAATGGGCTGTTGCCTAAGATTTTCATTTCTTTGGCCATTTTCAGACCCTTAATGTTATGAAGTTATAATGTGAAGTGATCCTAACTGGGATAATGAGTTGATAATGACAGTGACTGGCGTTTCTACCACACCTGCCTCTGGAGGCGTGGAGGTTGCCCGTGCACTTCCAAACTCTTATCTTTAAATCCCCCGTGAATCAATAAAATATTCCTTACCAAGAAGTGTACATTTCCAGGTGTGATGAAGTCAATTGATTGAAACTTTCCATCACAAGCCTCTAGGGCATTTTCAAAAGTTGGCTCTTCATCAAAAGTGTAGATATAAACAGATCCCTGTTAATATAAAGAAAAAAAGAAATATCATGCAAGATACAAATCAAGCTAGATACAAATTAATATTGGCTCATTCATCCATTCATTCAACATTGAGAATAATCGATAAGGATGACTTTCTTCTTGCCTCCAGTAGCAGGTATTTGTTTTTCTAAGACACAAAACATAACAGTACACTTTTTCTTGATTTTAAAAAATGTATATTTATGCAGAAAATTTGGAAAATGTAAAAAAAAAAAAAAGACTCAGAAAACTTGTTAAGGCTACCTAATTCCTATCATATATTAGACCATGTTGGTCATTAGTGAAAACTTGTTAGTCAGCCTTTGTGAAAGTTGTGGAGGTACAGCAAAGTTGTCACTTTGTTGATTATTCTCAGACCCCAAACTTACCTCTCAAAAGCAATCTATCTTGTAACCTACAATATCGTATGATCACTTAACAATACAGACTCCTTTCAATGGATCAAAAGTTGTCAAGTTTACTTGAGTTAAACATGAATAATTTTGTACTCGTGTATCTAAAAAGTACAACTCTGCAGAGTCTAAAATTCGGTAGATATTTACCATTTATACCTTTCATTTATTCTTCCAACAATGATGACTAGATACTGATTAGTTTCAAGCACTGCTCTGAATGCTGGGGCTACATCAGAGAGCAAGACAGAAATTCCCTGCTCTCATGCAGCTTATGTTTTACTGAAAAATTCAGAAAATAAGATATGGAAATAAAAGTTATTAAAAAGCAAAGTGGTAAGTATAAGAAAAGTAACAAAGCAGGAAAATAGGGCACAGCAAAAGCAGAAGGGGGATGTTAAATACAGTATCCAAGAAAGGCTTTACAGAGAAGCTATTTTAGAGAAAAGTCTTAAAAGAGGAAAGCATCCATGTGGATTGTTCAGAAGAGCATTCTCCACAGAGGGAACCACCAGCGCGAAGACTCTGAGAAAGGAGCATAACTGGCGTATTCACCTAGCCAGCATAGTGGTGAGCATCAGCAGAGTAGGGTGAATCGGAAGCAGGAGTGCAGGTGAGGGCAGGGCGGGGAGTGGAGTCTGTCATGAAGGGCCCTGGGAAGCACAGTGAGGATTTTAGCTTGGCTTTTTCTCGCTACACACAGGAAATCACTGGTGGTCTCTAAGTAGCAGAAACATTTTGCTCACTTTGGATGCTGTGTTCAGGGTACATGGTTTACTCTATCAATGTACTGGGAAAAGTATATTAAAATCCCCCATTGAGATAATGACAGTGCCTGCCTTTAACTTTATCATGTTTTGCTTCATATACTTTGAGGCTCTTGTTTAGTATATATGCATGTTAAATGTTTTTATATTACTAGTGAATTTAACCTTCTGAAATATTTTTGTTGAAATATCTATTTTGTGTAATTTGTGTAATGTGACTTTTACCTCCACTGGTTTTCTTTGGTTCATGTCTGCATGATAAAAAAAAAAAAAAAAAAAAAAAAAAAAGATGATTTCCCCCCCCACCTTTGTTTTTACTTTCAATCTTTCTATTTACTTTCAGTGTTAATGTACTTTTATCTTTTATTCACTTTCAATACTACTGTATGTTTATGTTTTAGATGTGCTGCTTATAAAGAGTATGTAGCTGGACTTTGCTTTCTTTTTTTTCTTAATCATTACTTGAAAGGAATGAAGCTCAGACGATGCTGTGTGATGATACTCCAGTGTGGTGAAGTGTTTCATTTTAACCAGATCATTTGTTCTATTTGACTTTCATTGAAATTAGCAATATATTTGAGCTTCATTATAACTTTTCAAATTATGCTTTCTATTTTTTCCCTTGTGGGTTTTTTTTTGTCTCTTTTCTTAGCTTTTATTTTTTACTTTTCCTTTCAATAATTTGGTAATTCTACTTTCACATTTCTTTTAGTGTTTACTTTAGAAGTTATAATATAAATACCCAATTTATTAACAGCAAAAATTACTAGAAATGCTTTATTCCAGTTAACCAGTCCCCTCAATCATACACTGCTATTATCTAGGATTTTAATTCTGTGTTATTTTTATACCTACTTCCACATTATGTTCTGCTGTTTTTAATATTTATTTACATTTCCCCACATATTTACTATTGTTCTTCATTCCTCTTGCATCACAGTCCTTCCATCTGAAAACTTCCTTCTGCCTGAAGTACAGTCTTTAGAATTTTCATCAAGTTGGTTTGCTGCTGATAACTCTCAATTTTGGAGTGTCTATATATGCTATTTTTCAGCCCTGAGCTGAGAAGGTATTTTCGCTGGGTATAGAATTCCATCCAGTAGTTACCTCATTATACTATATCAGGGTGATCAGCAAACTTTTTTTAAATAAATGGACAGATAATAAGTATATTAGGTCTTGTGGTCCCATCACAGTGTTTTAACCCTACCACTGCAGTGTGAAAGCAGCCACAGACATTACATAAGTGAATAGTTGTGACTATGTGCCAATAAAACTTAATGTATAAAGGTAAGCAGCAGGCTGGTTTTAACCTCAGGGCCATAATTTGCTGATGCTTGCATGAGATTTCATTTTACTCTTTCTTATATTATTGCCAAAAAGGAGTACTGACTAATGGAGTATCATCACACAGCATCGTCTGAGCTTCATTCCTTTCAAGTAATGATGATGAGAATATATGAAAAGTGTGCATCAAGAAATCACTGTGGCATACCTTTTGTGTTTGAATCAGCAACATCTTGTAACTGGGTGAAAACACCATGTGTTCCACAGGCTCTTCAACCACAAGAAATTCCTCCATTTTGTAATATGTATCTTTTATAGTAATAGAATACACATAGCCATCCTACAGGCCAAAAAAAAAAAAAAAAAAAAGAAAAAGACAGAAATGCAAAAAATCAGTCTCACTCAATGTATAATATACTTTCCTCATAAGACAAGCTAAGACTTACTGGTTACTAGGTGCTGTTTATTTTTGGAATCATCATCGATTCCCTGTTTCCTTCTTCTGTTTAGGCAACTTTTAACCATGTTCCTTGGCCAAGTTTCACTTTAATCTGTTTTGTGACATGTGTTTCAGTTACTTAAAATTTTACTGATCTCCTCTTTCTTTGAATCGTTTAACCATCTACCTACCACATTGTTCATTATACAGTAGTAGGTGGAGCAAGTGAGATATCTTATCCTGTGGCTTATAAATAGCAGTCTCCTTACTTCAAAGGACAATAGGCTTAATGTCTGTACTCTAACCATTAATATATGATTTCTTGTCTTCCTAAATGACCCAAAAGTAGGGTGTGTGCTGTTTTTTCCTCTTTCAAGCTCTTCTCACAGATCTCAAACATGGCAAATATCCAGTAAAGATGGCTGGTTGATCACTTATCAATAGATTTGTTATTTTAGCTACTCTTAAAAGGAATCTAATTATTTTTACAGTAGTGAAGAAGCCTTGGGAAAATTCAACCAGCACTTCTAGATTAGAGCCCATTAAACTCTAAGTAGGAATCTGGGTTTTTTCTTTATTTTTAGATATTATACTTACAAGAAAAGTGGTCTAGGCCAGAGGTGTGGGGGATGAGAATATTCACCAGAGACAGAGTGGGCAGCAGAACAGGCAGATCTACTGAAATACACTGCTGAAGGGAACAGCAGACAAGAAAGGAGAGGTCTGCTGCACCATAGGGGTTAACTCCATGACCAGGGATTGAACTCATGCTGCAGTGGCTGATGATAGCTTGATAGCTCTGTGACTTAACTCCGGCACCACCAGGAAAGCCCCAAAGTAGGTATTTGTGAGATGGCCAAGTTTAGGCGCTAGGGATCTGGGGTGGGGAATGAGTCAATATCCAGGTATTTCTCCAAGTTCATCATCATTCTCCACCTTTCAGCAGAGCAGATACTCCAATCACTCCATTAAAATATGTTAAAACAGGGCCCTCCCTGGTGGCGCAGCGGGTTAAAGCACTGCACTAAGAAGCTTAAGCCACTTCAGCATGAGTTCGATCCCTGCCTGCCCCGGAGGTGACCACATGGTGTGGCAGCCCTCTCCTGACCCGCCCGCTGTTCCCCTCAGCAGTGTACTTCGTCGATCTGCCTGTTCTGTTCCCCACTCTGTCTCTGGTGAAGCCTCTCGCCGCCCCTGCACCTCTGACTTGTACCCCAGTTCTGTATGCACAAATAAATCTTTAAAAAAAAACACTAAAGGTAACCTTGAGGAAGACACACATCATAGAAGGCCACAAATACAGACTAAATATAAGGGGGAAGTCCAATTCAGTGTCAGAGGTATTACAAACTGAGTATAGGTTTCAGACTTTCAGACAGTTCCTCTTCAGTGGAGCTACAACTCTTATTCTGGCGTCATTGCCTATCTGTCCTCAGTGTTCGGGGATATGGTCTAAGGCATGAAAAAGACAAAGCACTAGAGAGTTGTCAGTAGACCAGAGATTTTAATGTGGGTCAGCTCCAGATCTGAGCACTGATTACAAAAGCATGGCAAAAATAATATGGGTATGAACCTTTTTATACTTAGTCAGGCTGCTCTAACAATGAGAGCAAAGAAGAGAGTTTTCCACGTGTGAGTTCAAACCCCCTCTCCTCTGACTGGCTGGTGAACTCTGTAAGACTTGATTCCTTCCTCTATGCAATAAGATGTCATTTGTTTCTACTTGATAGGGTTGTTGGGAGGATACAGGAGACAAATAAGCAAGGTACTTAGCATGATGCCTGACGCAACCCACGCACCAAGTGAATGAGGACCATCACTAAGTGTGATATAAACAATAACAATATGAACATGTAAGCCAAATGGGTGTGTACAAGGGACTGAGTTGAAGCTTAGACAAAAGGCTCCCACTGTATCTTACAACCTACTATATAAGTACAGACTGCCATGGAACTGACAGGTGTGTGTTTGAGTTTTGTTTGTTTTTAGTGGAGTGTAAATGGAATTCTTAAAATTCAGTTTTTGCTTATTTGCAATAAGGGAGATGAATGTTCACTATACTATTATCTCTACTTTTGTAGATCTTTGAAATTCTTCCTAATAAAAGTTTTATAATAGCATCCACAAAAGAAACAATTTTATGTAATAATCTCACAGAAACTGACACCCCAAATTATGGCCATGACAGTAAACGGCAGAAAGTGGGATATGTAAATTTTCTTGAAAGCCATTAATTTTGAAGGGAAAAAAATACATTACAATTCCAGAAGCAATCAGGCCTCCCTTCTGATATACCATGGTGAGTGGGCTGTAAAGATGCCTTTGCTCTTGAAGGAAAGAAAAACAAGACAAAACAGGTGACAGATGATTAAAAATGAAGTACACAACGTAACTCATCTTATTTGCTTTCCTAGGACTATTCATTTCTAATCCTTTTTGCTAAAAATCGACTTCTCATCAGAATATGTTGTGTCTCCCGAACAATGAATAATAAAACCTTAGCAGTGATTACTGATGTAAATCACATGAATTTATAGAGTTCCATGTCATTAGGTCTTTTTAACTAACATGACAGAATCACACAGTAAATAATTCTCTTTTTTCAAATTAATCTCCCCAAGCACAGTTCCAGGTGGGGTCCATCCCCCTCTAGGGTTTTAGGTGTCTGCCTGCTGTCAGCTGAATGAAGTACAGATGCCTCAGCAGGACATTCCAGGTCAGATATAGTACAGATGTTCCTTCCTTTTCCACAATCCTGTATAACACTCCATGCTCCATAAAAGCTGGCATATTTCTTGCTTTCCAACCTTCTCCATGTCTCCTTGTCTGTACAGATACCACTGCCCCAAATTTCACCCACTGTCCTCTCCTCCTTCAAGGGCCATTTCAAATCCCACCTTCAGAATGACTTGTCCTGGCCTGTTTCCTTCATCTGTATTCCCCAAGCCCTTGTGAAGCTTTCTTCAGTGAAACCATCTACTATGAGGCACCTTAGTGTCTTTCATTGAAAGGTTAGATAAATATTTCTTTGAGTTCATTTATATTTTGCCATGAAAATGATCAGGAATAGTATGCAGGAAAGAAATAGTGAGCAATACAGAGGTGTGTATGATTAGGGCCTCAATTTTATATTATTACCAGTGTAACAGCAGTTTAGAAATGAGAAACACTGGTTTATAATTCATTTTACAAACACATGGAGGTACCCATTTACTCCATAGCCATCTCTGGGATTAAACTTTGGAGCAAAGGGTGAGCGTGACAGTTCCTGACTTCAAGAGCTGATGAGTGGTGGGAAAGCTTGATATGCGCATGGGCCATGACAATAGCAGAGGTTGCAGCGCTAACAAAGGAGTGACTCTATAGAACCCCAGATATTACTTGAAGGTTGGTGTAAGTATAGCATAGATTCCACAGAGGACAATTTTCAGGCAGACACAAGAGAGAAGCACACTTCACACTAAATCCTGTGGGCAGGATTTGGGGAGAGCACAGAAATGATGAGCACATCTAAAATGTTCAAACAGGAGGCGATGAAACTGGACAGGCAGGCCAGAAAAAGACTGACTTTTAGAGAGCTGTATGGATGACCCATGGATGAGAGATTAGAGAGTAAAACAGGGCTGCAGAGTAAAAGAGGGGCTGGGGTAGAAGAGTTGGACTTAATGACCTCAGTTTTGTCAGTGAAATACAGGAGAAGTCAAGGAATGGGAGGGGTCATGGATGCAGAACTCCTTAGCTAGAGAAAAATTGCTGTATGAGATGGCAGTCAGCTGGGCACTGAGGGCTATGGAGGATGTTAGGAGATTTGGGGATGGGAAGAAGTGTCAATAGTAGTAGAAAATAATTCTAATACAACAGTTAGGGTTTATGAAATGTCTTTTGTCATTTGATTCCAGAGAAGCCCTTGAGTTGCATGTCCTGACAGTGGGGATGAGCTGCCTGGTTTAGGTCAGCTTGAGGTCAGCGAAGTCAGTGCTAAGGTTGCTGCAGAAATCAAGGTGTGTAAGAGGAACTGGACTGGAGAATACAGCAATGGTTTTGGGAAGCTGGCACTGTCGTGGTCCTTTTCCAAAGACTCTATGGCTATCTCACATTGGGGAGAGGGGGAACCATTGGCTTTTGTTAGCCAGGCCGAACTCTGGTCATAACAGAAATGAACATTAGATTTAGGGAGGATACATCACAGAGTCTTAGAAATTGTAAGCAAGCAACACAAAAGTAATTGTCAAGATGGCAGTTGTACTCAAAAGAGAAGGTCCTGATGGAGAAAGGAGTTGAGAAGGCCGGAAGGAAGAAAAGGGTGGATAGCACGAGATACGGAGCAGGCAGAGTAGCTAAGAACTTGAACTCTGAAGTCTCACCTAGGTTCCACAATTACTAGTTAACATGAATTTGGCCACATTCTTAATCTCTCAGTGTCCCCATTTTCTCCTTTTTATCATGGAAATAAAAATATACCTCCTTTTAACTTTGTTTTGAACATTACATGAAATATGCACTCAGAGTGATATTAGAATGCTTAGAGCATGGAGCACTCAAAAATGTTAACTTGCTACAAGGAACATCCACAAGACTTGGTAACTAGAGGAATTGAAGATCACTCTTAAGAAACAAAAAGGAACAAAACATCTGCCATCAAGTATGTGTAAAACCAACACCCATGACTATATTTCTGGGTATATGAGGCAAAGCAGTTTCTCACCTTCTAAGGGTTTTTCTTCTGTCTTATTAAGTAGAGTCACTTTTAGGGTTTCTCCGTTAACCATCAAAAGATGCCCTTCTTCACAGCCGACGTACAAGTCACTTGTTGGAGTCCAGCAATGCATTGTAGGGTGAAGTGTAGGATACACATCATCTCTAGGCTTCAGGGAAAGATGAAAAACCTTGTGTTAAGACAATATTCGTGGCTGGCGAGCTAGAGAAATAACCATCAAAACAATTCCCAAAAAGAAGAAAATGATTATGGGCCTATGTATATTCACTGGACTTGCCATCTGCAAGAACTAAGTGGATTTCTCATTCCTTGCTTCATTTCTTGCTCTGGTTTTTAATTCCCTAGGAAAAAATAAGGCATTCTTGCCAACATATTCATAGAGCTAGTAGCACAAACTGAATGTTTTGAGTAATACTATACTGCTTCTTGGTGGATGTTTTTGGCATTTTCAATCTAAAAAAATTCATTGTTCAGCTAAAATCATCCTTTCTGAGCAACATTTTTGTCAACATTTCTCCCTCCTGGGCCACAGCTGTGGTTTTCTTTGAGTTGCTATGGAGACGTTGACCTAGCTCCTCTGCTTGGACAGCTTCATGAGGAATGAGAAGAGGGTCCCTTGCCTGATTCTGGCGGTGTCTCCAGTTGGGTTCATGAAGTGACTTGTATGATATTCCATGGAAAGGTCAAGCTGAAATAAACAAATATACAAGATCTGGACTGTGTACCCAGGAGGAAATCTGGCTTTGGGACTAAAATAAAATGGACAGCAGGCCTACGGCAAATTTTTCCTATAAAGGACCAGGGAGTGAATATATCAGACTTCATGGACACATAGTTCACATAGCCTGTTCATAAAAATCCTGAAAACGTATAAAAGACATTCTTAGCTTTCTCCATGCAAGAACAGACAGTAGCATTAGGCGTCATAGCCTCAGCAGTACACCCCTGCAGCCTGAATGTTCATGTCTAGTGGGGAGAGGCCGCTCCCCATTTCTGTCAGCAAAGAGCAACCATATTTTCCTTCCTGGAGGCTGAAGTAGGTGGCAGGTCTTTGGGGAGTATGCCCCTCATAGAACTGATTAAGATTAGAAATGTATGGCTTTATTAATATTCCCTGTGTGGTTTAGATATGTCAAATTTTAAGTTTCTTTAGCCTTTTCAGGAAAAGGTTAAAATGCACTGAGTACAAAAGTCCTAGGAAATAAAGAGGCCTTTATGAGTATTTTTAAAATGGTAACTCTATATTTAAGTACTTGAAGGAAGCATTTCAAGCATTTTTCAGGTTACAAGGATAATTCCCTGAATTTTAAATGTTTTGTGTTAGATTTTATCACGTTGCTACAAAGTCTGAAAGATGAGAATGCTGATAGCAATTTACTGCAGAAAAAAGGATTCGAGATAGCTGAAAAACTGGAGTCCTAAGCATCACATCCTAAACAGAGAAACATTTCAAGTTGTAAGCACTAGTGGCAGATCTGTTTATTTTCACTTTGCTGCCCCAGTGTGGCTGAATGCGGTTGTGTTCCCCAAGCCCAGGTGTGCCAGTAAAAGGAATTCATCGTTTTCTGTTACTGACCCTTTAGAAGAAATGCTAGGCGCATACCAACTTTTCTCTTGCTTACCAGAGATTCTTTGATAATCTACTAACCACCCTGAATTATTTTGATCATCTATAGCTTAATTCTTTGCTGTAGGCAAAAAACACCTGGGAATCTTTACCTGCTTTATCCTGGGCTTGGAGCTTCAACACAAACATTAGCACAAGGCAGACTCCAGGGTTTGCAGAGTCAGGCTCGTCACCTCCACCCCATGTGCCACAAACTGCGGCCTGCCTCCCTCTTGCCGATCACCTGCACCCCACTCGCCTTCATTTACCACGTTCCAGCCATGCAGTCTTTACTCAGCTCCTCAAACATCCTGAGTTCTTGCCTTGCCCCTTCTCTTGCTGAGCCTTTGTGCATGCCGGTCCCTCTGCCTGAACACTCTTCCCCTGCACATCCATCCTCTTGTCCTTCACATCCTCTCCCTGAGTCTTCCCCTGAGACCTTTAGCCAACACGTGTTTACTTTTCTCCACCTCCCACACCCATCGTTTATTCTGGTTATAATGCTGATCACATTTCACAGTGACTGCATGTATCCCTTTACTTGTGGTGACATTGCACTTGCTCAGTCTCTCGATGGAATGAAGTCTCCAAGGCTGGCTTATGCTGTCTGGCTGTTCACCATGCGACTTTATCTCCTAAAGCAGAGCCTGCCACATAGAAGGATCTGGATAGCTATCTCCTGCATGACCATCATGAAACTGTTGACAAATTCCCTTTTGAATCTTCTTGCATGGTTTTCTATGGACTTATTCTCCTGGACTTGCTCCTCCTCTTGTGATTTATGCTTCTCAGATTCCTCTTCCTCCTCTGGACTCTTGGTGGTCGGTTTCCTCTGACTCTTCCCTGACATGCTGCCTCCCCCCGTGCTCTGATGTCAGCTCTGCCTTCTCCTCCCTACCACCTATGGCCCAGCATCTCCGCCTGGATGCCTTGCCAGCACCACCACAAATTTAAATTTACCCCAAACTGAAATCACACCAGGGCTCCCAATTTCTGATAGCAGTGCCATCATCTTAACCATCAAACTAGAGATCAGAGTCTTGGTTTCTCATGGTCTCCAGAGCTAATCTGTTAGAAACCAGGAGGGTCAGCCCCATCCTGCTTATTTTGTGGCATGGCTATGGGAGTCCAACAGGTAAATAGGAGGAGGCACCAGGTGATTACCCTGAAAGTCTCTGCGTCCTCGTTGACCAGCCCTGCCATGGCTGACAGCGGGAGCACAGGGCCATAGATCAGGTCCTTGGGTAGCGACTCGGGGAAGATGACCTCCATTTCATTGTAAAACTCCCCGCCCTCCATGGGTAGTTTTACCAACCTATAGAAAAAAATCAAAATAATCAGATTAACAGAGACAATTCACTGATGTAACTGCTGATTATTGGTGGTGAGCAGGGTGGGGAGGTGTTATAACAAAAAAGACAAACCAGGCCAAAAGTTATCCAGTGGATTTTAACATATAGAACATATTGCAAAAGGAAAAATATGTAATTGTAATTTAAGTACATAGGGATTTTAAAAAACTATCAAAGATAATATCTAATGTAGAAATGATAAATCAGAACATTTTCAGAGGTCAGGCAGGGAGGGCCGGTGGCAAGTGGGAAGGTGTTTTCCTGCCTCAAGAGTCGGCAGGAACTCCGCAGTGGTTTCTGAGAGGGTGTGCAGATGTTAAGAGTTGGTTCCAAACATTAAGAAATTATCATAACCTGGACAAGAAAGCTCTCAATTTATAAATGTCGGTGACTCATTCATTCAAATAAAGACAACTGTGGGCCAAAATAAGCACCGATGTGGGTTGTATTCAGCTACTACTGCAACCTCTGGTATCAAAATTTCATTTTCACATTTATAATATGTCCACATATATGGCTTACAAAGATGAGTATGGAGAATTTTGTGCCTTTGTTCATTAAATTTAAAACTTCCTTTGTTAATTTTTTATGGATGTAGAATGATTCTGGAAAAGGACCACATAAAATTAGTACCTACACTCAAACGTGGGTACTTAGGGTATGGTCTCAAACCCTGCTTGCCATCCGACCCTGGAAACCCTGCCTCTCCTTGCTTGCCTTGCCTCCTCCTTTATTTGCTGAGAGAAAAAAATAACAGGGCCTCCCTGATGGCACAGGGGTTAAGTTTCAGCACTATGAAGCTATCCACAGCCACTGTAGCAGGGGTTCGATGCCTGGCCGGGGAGCTGACCCACATGGTGTAGCAGACCTCGTTGGTGTCCCCACTGCTCCCCTCAGCAGTGTGTCTCAATAGATCTGCCCTTTCTGCTCCCCACTCTGTCTCTGTTGAATCCTTTCAACCCCCACACCTCTGGCCTACACCCAAGCTCTTGTGTGCATAAATAAATAAATCTTTTTTTTTTTTTTAATAACAGCTCAACATTCACATCTAGGAGAGAATATTCGAGGGAAGCAAAGGGAGAGGTGATGTGATAGGTGACTTGTGTGCCCTAGTGAGGATAGAGATGTGATCCATTTTGTGGAAAGTGTTGCCAACTCTGCCTAGAGACAGATTTCACTATTCAGTGGTTCTTACAAAAATGAGACTGAGACATAGAGTATTGAGTAGCAACAAGTGCCTCTGCTAAGACTTTCCATGTAGAAAATTTTATTTACCAGTTCTGCATTTGTTTGAAGAAGGCAATTTCTCAAACACCGCTAGCTCAGGTCAAGCATCTTCTTAAGTCTTTCATAGGGTGGAGCACACTGAAAATGGTCAGCTGGGGGGCACTCGAGTCCTTGGACTCTTTTGATATGGACACCCACTGTCGTCCATAATCACCAGGACCAATTCTGTTTAAACAAGTAATTCTCCCGACTCTGCTATGTGCAACCATAATGGGTGATAATGTTGCTGACGGTATAATCTATACCCTTTTCGAATCTAAATTTCTTATTTTTGAGATTCCAATTGGGCTATCAGAGTGGATTTTAAATATATGTCACAACTGAGCAAATCAAATTTTGAAAAATTAAATATTGTTGGGAAAAGTTCTAGGACTTCATATTTAAAAGAAAGCCACAGGGAACTTAAGTAACACTGGGTGATTACATGTGTAGAAATGTTGTAATGTGAGGTGTATGTCTGTATATAGCCAGTTGATTTAGCAAATTGATCCAGTCACACAACATGAATACAAACGAAGAGCATCACTTTGTCGTAGGGGAGTAACAAAATGTCTTACTTTGGTCTGAGATAATGCTCCTGGTTGCTTCTTTCAATGGTCCATATAGTCACTGCACTTGAACTTGACAAGCACAGTTGGTGCCAGTTCATGGGGTTAAAAGTCATGTAGCTCACATCCACTCCGGGTTGTGACTTCTTGCACAAAATGACATTTGATTCCCAATTCCTTAGAGAAAAATTGTGTTTGGTGAAAAGTGATTAATGTGTTAAGTGAACTAAATCAGAGGGAGAAGGACCACACCTCCCAGCCTCCCTTGCAGCCTGACATGGCTTGTGACTACGGCCCGAGGGGGCCACCGGCAGAGATGTGTGCCTCCCCTGCTCACCTTGCCTTCCCCTGTAAGGACTGTGCTCTTACTCTTACCTTTCCCTCTTGCCTCTGGCTCCCCCCTTGCCCCCCAATCCATGAGTGATAGCCTTCTTTAGACCAGAGAGGAGAGCACACCTTAGGAAAGGGAGAGCACCAGGAGGGAGAGGCCGGATCTCTGAAACCAGGAGCCATCATGCCAGCCATGGCCACACATCCCCGCACTACTGCACAGAAGAAGAAGAAGCTCTGTCTTGTTTATACCACTGCTTCCAGCCTCCAGAACTGGGAGACAATATATGCCTGTTGTTCAGGCCACTCAGTTTGTGGATACCTTGTTAACTAGCAGAGGAATCCTTATTAACAGTTAAGTGCATTAAATTGTGGCATAACTATCATGCAGGAGAAGGGAACCATTGATAAACACTGCAGCAAGAGGACACAATAATTAATTATGAAAAAAGCCAGAGAAAAAAGTACATAATGTATGACATCCTGTTTATGAAATGCTAGAAAATGCAAACTAATCCAGTGACAGGTAGCACATCAGTAGTTAGAGGGGATAAGTGATGGGGTGAGGGTTGTGTGGCAAGAGGCTGTACCCACGATTTTGAAGGGGCACCAGGAAACGTTGACAGTTGTCTTGACTATGGTGATGGCCTCATGGGTATATACACCTATCAGAACTCACCAGGATGTATATTCTGTATAGAAACATTTCATTGTCAATTGTGCAGCAATAAAGTTGGGGCTTTTTTTAAAAGAAACTTGAAAACTACAGGTGGCTTTCTGAATCTAGATCTTTACATGTTTGTATAAGAAATGTTGGTATGTAGGGAATATCTGCCATTATTCCTGGAACATTTTCTATTTCCTCTTATTAAAACAAATATCCCCTTAAAGGGGTTTATATTTTGGACAGAAGAATGAGTGCTACTTTGAAGTTGGCCACATGAAACAGCTAAGCAAAGTCCAGAGATCTGTCTCCTCCACAGGTATTTCCTGCACAGCTGGCGAGCGTGACAATGTTCCACTCTTTGAACAGGCCATGGTTCTAGTGTCTCTAAAAGCAATTCCTTCAACTGATAGAGACCGTCTTATTTCAACATTAGTGGAAATATGCAAACAATTCATAGTTACCATTTATCTTTAACAAAGGTGAAACTTTTTATATTACAAAATGTATTCTTTGCCTGAGAAAGGAAATATTTTAACACATTAATTTAAAAAAGACAATTAATTCAGCTCTCATCACTTTTGCCTTGTTAAATTTTGTGCCTAAAAGTAGAAACTACATTAAACATTATGATTAGGAGTTTATTCCTTCCATGGTTCCTTGTTTCAGGTTTTTCATGTGTACATTTGTCATAAAATCGGGGAGAAGACTAAAATATAACCCGGGCCCTCCCTCGTGGTGCAGTGTGTTAAGTGCAGCACTGCGAGCTGGCCACGGCCGCTTCAGTGTGAGTTTGATCCCTCATCCTGGAGGTGACCGGTATAGCAGACCTTTCCTGTCTCGCCTGCTATACCCTCAGCAGTATATTTCAGTACATCTGCCTGTTCTGCTCCCCACGCAGTCTCTGGTGAATCCTTTCACCACCCCTGTACCTCTGGCCTGCACCCCAGTTCTGTATGCATAAATAAATAAATTTTTAAGAAAAAATGTAACCCAATGAAAGGAAGCATATAGGACACTACAGCTTACCAGAGAGTCAGTTCAAATTCTGGGAGAGAGGAGTAGCTAGCCAAGTAGGTGCCACAGTAACTGAATGAAAGTAAAGTGTAGTCCAGAAGAACATTGCCTACAACATAAAACCCATTACAAGGATTTAATTATGTACATACTAACTATAGTCTTATAACTGATCTTCCTTATCCAGTGAGTTTCACATAATTCAAAAACATTTATCGCTTGGGATTAGGGATTTTCCAGTTGATATTTTAAGACTACAAGCAGAAAGCCAACAGCAAAGTTAAGATCTGGTTTTAAAAGATACAACAGTGGTAGGACCAGAGGGTCACTGTCTTTCGACTTCAATGCGGCACTCAGCACGTTGTGACACATATGTCCCAGTGTGATCGGAAATGGCCCCCAAACCATAAAAGCTTCCATAAAAATATGAGACATTGAAATTAGAAAAGTTATTTGAACAACTTTAAATACCTAGGGAGTTTGTGATCATTCTACCAAATACAACAGGTTTATTCTAGTATTTTCTAGCTTTGTCTTCTGTATTTGTAAAAATACAGATACATATTTTATTTAAATATAATTTTGCTTTTTAGAGTCAAAATAACCATGGACTCAATACCATATACAACAATTTTAAATAGAACACATAGTGTTACTTCTGTTAATTTACCTAGAGTAAGCATTTTATTATTAATGATTCTTCACAAATATGATCTTTAACATTATATAACACCCCCTTATGGGATGTGTCCACTTAATTAACAGTTTTTATTTTACTGGACATAGAGGTCATTTTCAATCTTTTGCTATTATGAATTATTTTAACTCCCTTGCACACATATCTTTGATCATATTTCTATTCTATTTCCTTAAAAAATAATTCTAATTTTTGACATGGGTTTAAATTGTTCAAACAGAAAAAAAAAAAAAAACTATTCCCAGAAAGACTGTATCAATCAATACTCTAGCCTTCAACAAAAACAGTGCTATCAATTTCACTCTGACTAGTAATTATAATCTTAAAAAAAAAGGAGAAAAATCCAATTTGGTTTACATGACACTTTTCAAAGAAATACAAGGATGGAGCATTTTTGGAAGTTTTTTATGTTGGCTGGGCATATTCCTTTTCTGTTGTTTTAATGGGTGCTGTCCTTATGTCTTACAAATGCTCTGAAATTTTATTTCAAATATTTTCCTGATTATGACTTGCCTTTTAACTTTTCACGGTATTTTTGATGTCCTTATATTTTAAATTTGCATGTAATCAAATATGTCAATCATTCTAATTTTAATTATTTTCTTCCTGAGAAAAATTCTTCCCTAACCTCTAATTATTTCAATATTCCCACCATATTTCCTTTTACTTTTAAAATGGGATTGTTGTTTATAGTGAATTATGTATTTTCAACAGATGTATAAAATTTTGATTCCCAATATATGAGTATTTAAATGTCAAGTTGATACTTTCGGTCAACTGGTTTTCTTAACACAGCTTGTGTGTGTGTGTGTGTGTGTGTATAAGTGTGTGTATGTGTATAGGGATATTTACATTTTATTCTAGTCTATCTCCACCTTCAGCTCTTCCCCTTACCTGGTGATCCCTACATCCATCTTAATTACCATAGCACCATCATGTGAAAAGAACCCTCTACCTTGCTATCATTCTCTTTTATCTTACTCCCATTCTCTACTCTGCTCTTCCAGATGAACTCTGAAATCATCTAGGTACTCCTCTCTCTCTAAAACTCATGGTAAACCTACAAATTACTTGCTGTTGGGAATATCAGAAATATATTCCTAATCACCAATCTTTTCATCAGGAATATGTTTTCATATATTTACATATGTTAAGTCAGTGATTTTTTTGTAGTTTTCTTCATCTAGGCCACTCGCATTTTTTCCTCAGATGATTATTAAGTATTTAAATCTTCTAACTGCTTGAATATTTACTTTGAAATCAGCACCTTATTAAGCATTCTTTTATTACTCCTGCAGACTACTGTATTGCCTGTAATCTCCTTTCCCATAGTTTTAATTTTTCTCACTTTCAGTTTCATTGGATGTTGACTATTGGTTTGGGTAACTTTCAATTGCCTGGATGGAACCACAGTCTGATAAGCAATCTGGGGGAAGTTTAATGATAACAGTTTTGGTTCACACAGACTGTCACCAATGTATGGACAAGTTAAATTTTAAAAGTTGTTTTAATCTGTTGAGAATTCAAGCAAATTTTCCCATAAATAAAATGTTATAAATTACAGTGAAATACCCTGGCTTGATTCAAACACTTACTTGATCCATAAAGGTAGAGCCAGTGTCAGTCTTAGCTTAAGCTGACCTTGATATGTTAAATGAGGGAATCACTAGATGAAGAATGTAGTATCTCTGCAGCAGCCTGGCCTGCTATGTATGTATGAAGCAATAATAATGTACATGGTAGGTAACATTGACAACAGATGTGTATGTATGCACACATCCATTATCACCAAAATTTTAATAGTAGGTTCTACTTCTATCCCCACTTCATGGATAAGTAAATTGAGACTTATCTTTAGAAGTTACATAACATCAATTTACCTGAATTTTCAATAAATCACTAGGAAAGAAAAATAGTATTCTGAAATTTTCAAATTGCTTTTGGTGTTGTAAAAGTTTTCTAGTCCAATGCACACAAATCACCTTGAGAAATATTGTGAAAGTGCAGATTCTGATTCAATGGGCTTGGAGTGGGAGTTTCTATGTGAGGCTAATGTTGCCAGTAAACAGACCACTTCAATGCTCTGTGACCAGCTTGACTCCTTCATTGAAAATGTGTTATTAAAAGAAAATAAAGCCCTTCCCCAAACCCTTCATTTATATGAAATAAATTTAGCTATATAACAAAATGTTTCAGTCATGACAGAGGAAGGGTCTTCCAGGATACCTTTTAATTTGGTCCTTCTGGTCAATCCTGGAAAGTTGTATATGTAGATGAGGGGTCTTAACCTCCGGTCAGAAAAAGCCACAACTTCATAAGGAATGTTAGTTGCCACGACGCCTACAATTCCATTCATACACTGAAGTACTGTCTTTTTCTTGGTTTCAATATTAATAAATATTACAAAATTCCCACAAGGGTAGCATATGGTGGTGTCGTTGACAAAATGAACATTCTGCTTAGGAAATCCTTGCACCCATCTTTGGGAAAAAAGATGTCACCATCAGTATATTTCAAATATTTTTTAACAAAGTCACAAAAGTCATCAGAATCTATTTTCACTCCCTTTATGTCCAAAACAATTGTTAAGGTAAAAGAACAAAGATGCTGGCTGTCAGGGTTTGACTTCATGCACTACAGACATTTGAAAGTAGACCTAAATTTCCATAGGTCTCAAGAACCTTCTTCAGAAAACTTTTTCAGTGAAACAAATCCTCCAGTCAAACTAAGGAATCCTCCAAAGGGTTTCAGGTGTCTTGATTACTTGGAAAAGAAAAAGTAAAAATAACAAAAGGAAAAGAGCTTGATTTCAATGAAAACAAAAGGGGGCTATGTCCTGGGCCACTCTTTTATCATTACTTTTGATTAAAGAAATTTTACAAAACTACTTTGAATAAGGCTTTGTGCTTGTCAGCTCTGTAGGAAAATAGCTTCTGTACAAAGACTGAGAGGGAGGGGTTTAATTATATTTTAGACTCATAAATCCAGCGCAGAAAAGTACAGAAAATGGAATTAAATCAACACGAGGAAAAAGAACACAAAAGGAAGACAGTTTAAGGAAACCGGTTTAGTGTTTGCTAGAAAGGACAGTCTGAGGTTAGGGGAGATTTTACTTTCATGAAAAAAGTAAAGGTATGCTGAGAGATGGTGGAGAAGGCAAGCGAAGGGCGCTGTTGTGAGTGACCTCAGAGGTTGAAGAGTGCAACCAGGGCCCATGAAGGATATCTGGAATAGAGTGCGAGTAACATTCTAGAACGTGAAAGGAAAACTATCCCGCCTTGCATCCGCAGTGTTTTCGAAGTGGATTAAAGTCGAAAGGACTGATAATCAGCTCGAAGTTTGGGGGAAATTACCAAAGCCGACTAGAGAGGGACGGGAGTAGTCTCTGGAATGGGGGATGGTGCATGGAAGATAGGGTGGGGGTTCGGGGAGAGGGAAAGGACTGCAGCTGGGATGCTGAGCCAGAAAGTGGGGGCCGGCAAGAATGGTGGAGGAGAGCGACCCTAGTTGAGTGGGGATTGGGATCGTATAAAAATGGCGGGCTTGGGGAAGACATCTGGAGATGTGGTCGTGGGCGAAGGAATTGGGGTGGCAGGGTGGTGATGGAGCCAAGAGGACAAGTGGGAAGGAGTCTGCTGGAAGGCATTTGGAGTTGAGAAGTGTCCCGAGAGCGAGTCTAAAGAATGGGAGGAAGAAGAGGATAGGGAGCCAGCGCAGATCACAGAAGTTTCCGCCAGACGGGAGTCATTGCGTGGCTGGGCTGCCGCACCTCACAGACATGGTTGGGTTGACGCTGGCGATGGCCTCCTCTCGCTCCCGACCTTGCGCCATGGCGGTGTTTCTCTCAGCCGGGCTGCGGGTCGTAGTACCGGACCCCGGCTCGGGCTGCAACGGTTACCCCGGCGCCAGAGCCTGAGAAACTTTTGCTGTTTACTCCCGTATCCAGGAGACCGTAACGCCTGCGCCCATTGGCTCTGCTCTCTTGGCCGATTCGGCCAGTAGGCGAGCGTGGAGCGAGGCGAGAGGCGGGCCCCTGGGAGCGGTGCTGGAGGGTCCGGCCCGAGAGGAGTGGTGGGGACTATTAATCACCGCCCGTGGCAGAGGTTAATGTTGAGTGCGGACCGTGCCAGACCAAGCGTCGAGCCGTTATTATTTAATCTTCAGATTCCCAATGACCCCCATTATACAGATAAGGAAAGTGGGGAGAAGAGGAATAATTTGCCCAGTGGCACAAAAATGAGCGGGGATTGGAGCCCGGTCTAGCCCTAAATCTAGTGCTCCTCGCCTTACATGACTGTTACCATTTGCACCATCTGCGACGTCCAGGTGGAACACTTCTGGAAGAAACCTAATGAAAACGTCAGCAGCTGGTCCGCGCTTCTTCCCTTCGCGTTCAATACCCTCCCGTTCCTTCTCTCCCTTTTCTTTCTCTTCCCTCCAAGCCCTTCCTTTCCTTCTCCTTCCCTGTTCTCCCCGTTCCGCCCTTCCCTCCCTTTCTTTGAGCCTCTGTAACATGTAATCACTCTCTCTCCTCCTTGTTCGTAAATATTTACTCAGTATCCCCCCATGCAATGTGCTTAGAACAAAATAATGAGCGAAGCCGAAAATTACTTCCTTTCTTTAAATTTAGTGACCCACCGGTGAGGTCCTGCTTGACAACTGGGATAGACAACCATTACATTACACAAACATAGAATAACAGACTAAGAAAAGGAACGTGGTCAGGGAGGTAAAGTCGGGGTCTTCACCTAGTTGGATGGGCAGTTAGAAGTTTCCGTATGCATGACCTCTTTTCACTGAAAATCTAAGGATGAGGAGCGACAGGGTCAGGACAGTTCTTGTTAAAAAGGTAGGACAACAGGGAGAATGATCCATATTTTTTAAAAAAGTAGTGGCAGCTGAGACCCCTACGTTTGAAGTCTGTGCCTTCTGCTTGGATTTCCCCTCTGCTCTGCTATGGTCGTGAGATTATATTAAGCTCTCCTCTGTGCCTGGTATCTTAAATAGTTGTGGCACATGTAGTATTTTATCCCTATTGTGTAGATAGGGATATTTATTTACTGAGTCTCAGAAAAGTTAGGACTTTTGTCCAAAGTCCCACACTTTCAAATGGATTTGAACCCCTGGAATCATAAGTTGGAATCCAAAAAGAAGTTTAAAAAAAAAAATGGTCACTTGATTGAGAGAAAATGTGTAGGTAAGGGAAAATGTGTATGTAAGCTCTAAAAGGGAGGAGACAAATCTGTTTATCTGCCTTTTACCCTACCAGGCTGCCATTCACATCAGCCCCACACTGTTTAAACAGCCACTGGGGCAAAACCTTAGACAGCCTCAGACAATAGCCTTTTGTTTCAGGACCTGGGTAAGAGTGGAGACTGGACTGGCAGAGGGGTCTGTCCCAATGGTAAATCCCAAGGGTGATGGTCAGGAGGAGGGGAGTGTTGATCTCTGTACCCGCCTCCCTCTCCAAAGACAGAGGCAAAGACCCTCTACAGTGTGGGGCCCATGGCAGAGGCACCCTGGGAGTCTTATGGACAGCACTCTGTCACACACGTTTGACAGATTATGCACTTAGTGAAATATTTAGTAATCTAAAAGGAAAACGTAGGAGATGATGAAAAAGGAGAGAGTGCGATTTTAAGTGTAAAAATACAGTTACCCTAAAAATTCATGAGGCCATTAAAAACGCAAAGCAGATTTATTTAGGACCAAAGAATTGTGATTCTGAGTACACCGATTTAGGTAGAAACCTAAATCATGTCCAAGGAGGAAGAGAAGAAGGGGAGTTACTGAAGGAAAAAGAAAGATGGGGTACTAGATGAAGTATTGACATGGTGAAGGACTCATGAGGTAAAAATGGTAGGTGGAGGGGTCACAAGGTAAAAAGACAAAAGAGCTGGAGTACAGGCCAGAGTGTGCAGGGGTGAGAGGATTCCCCAGACACAGAGTGGGGAGCAGAATGGGCAGATCAACGAGGCACACTGCTGAGGGGAGCAGCCAGCAGATTAGGGGCAGTGAAAGGATTCACCAGAGACAGAGTAGGGAGCAGAACGGGCAGATCTACTGAAACCCCTGGTGAGGGGAGCAGCGGGGGAGCCAGGAGAGGTCTGCTGCGCCCTGTGGGTCACTCCCTGGCTGAGACGAAACTCAGGCTGTAGAGGTGATAGCACTGAGAGTTCACCCTTAGGCCCCCATCAATCCTTTAGACAGAATATTCTTGGTTTTGCTGGCTGCCTGGTTATGGAATGTTTGGCCCAGTCCATATAAAACGATTCCTCTGAGGTGACTTGCCCAGCTCCAGTCGAAAAAGGCTTAGCATATGTCAACTTGTCACATGACATAACAACGTGGCAGTGTTACCCCTGGAGGAGGTGTCTGGATGTGGAGGGCATGGGGGGCGAGGGGCGGTGGTCTGAGCGTCCTTGGGTCCCGCTGGCAGTTTAACAGAACTCGGATCTTGACAGACTCTCAGGTGGACTTCTTGAGGGAAGCTCCAGGCTATTCATGGACAAATGTGGGAAACAGTTTGCACTGACATAAATTGTGTAGAAAGGTTTTTAAATAATAACAGTCTCCTCCTCCTCATTTCTCTCCACTAATTCTTTCCTACCTCAATTCCACCATCCAGAAGTCACTTTTCCCTTTAAGAAATGGAACAGGCCCTCCCTGGTGGCGCAGCGGGTTAAAGCACAGCACTGAGAAGCTAAAGCAGAGGTGATCCACTTGTCGAGGCAGACTCTCCTGGCCTGCCCACTGCTCCCCTCAACAATGTACTGAGTTGTCGATCTGCCTGTCCTCCCCACTCTGTCTCTGGTGAATCCTCTCACCACCCCTGCACCTCTGGCCTGTACCCCAGCTCTGTATGCACAAATAAATAAATCTTAAAAAAGAAAAAAAAAGAAATGGAACAAGTTGAAGCAGCCACCCCCAAGCTCTGCACCCTTCTTTAACTCTTTCTACCCTCTCCCACATCTGAATTCTGTGTATCCCTTGCTTTTTCAGTTCTAGCATATATGAGTGTGTCATAAAATGTATGCTGTTTCTTTTTGCGTGTGGTTAAACTTAATATATGTAGTGACAGACCAAATATACTATTTTGTGACTTGCTTTCATGACTCACTATTATGTTTGGGGATGCATTTACGCTGATAGCTGTAGCTGTGGTTTATGTGTTCATGGCTGAGTGGTTGTCCATGATATGACTACTCTGCAATTTATTTATCCATTCTACTCCCAATGTACTTTTAATATCCATTCCTCCCCCCTTTATTTGCTATTTAAGCTCCTTTCTTTATGGTCTATTTATTCCTGTATGGCTTTTTTATTGTAAAGATGATAATATTCTTTTTTAAAAATTTGACCGCACTTTGGGTCTTACTAATTCTTTCACTCAATCACTCAACCAATAACTGTCCATGGAATCTCTTTGATGAAGCTATTTCTCCCTGCTGTGGACTGCCATAGAATAATAATCTTTAGAAAAGTATTCTTAGTCAAAAGATAAGGACCCTAATTAAAAAAATATTTTAAATATGACTAATTAAAATAATAACACGGGGTGTGGGGACTCCCTGGTGGCCTAGGGGTCAAGTCTCAGCACTATCACTGCTATGGCCCAAGTTTGATCCCCAACTACAGAGTTGACCCTCATGGCACAGCAGACCTCTCCTGTCCTGTCCACTGCTTCCCTTACCATGCATTTTAGTAAATCTACCTGTCTTGGTCCCCACTCTGTCTCTGGTGAATCCTCTCAGCTCCTACTTATACCCCAGTGTGGAGAAACCATGTTCCAGGTCCATGATCCCTGAGATCAACATCCCAGTTTTCAATGCAAAATAATAATAATATTTTTAAAAATATAAAATAATAACATGAATGAAACTATTCATGTGACCTTTGACATTCCTCCTTCTATAGAAATACCACATATATCATCAAGTATAAAATTAATCAAATTGCATTGCTGAAAAGTGACAAAAGAATGTTGAAACAATTAGGTGTATATGGTCAGTAAAAAGAGTGGCATGTAAAAGGTAGGAAAATATTTCTTATCTCTAGGATATTTAACTCTTGATCTTTAACCAGCAGAATCAGTTCAGGTTAGTCTCCTGGGGTTAATTTAGAGCTAAAGCTGCAACAATGTGAATACCTGCCCTTTCATTTGGGCCTTCAGCAGTTCCTATTCAGATGTTCACATCTTCCCATACACAACCAAAAAGGGCTGGTGGGTGGTGCTATATTACTTTAGTTCGCTAGACAGGTCCATTTTCTCTTCAATTTACATCTTTGAGGAATTAACTTTTGCTGATGAATCATTTAAATCATTAAAACAAAATGTTATACCAGACATACATATCAGAAGATAGGTGATTCCAAATAAAAGTTCTCAAATGATATCTTGACTTGACGTTTTTATTTGCCATAAGAAGTCTTGCCAGGTCAAGTGTAAATTTATAGGATTTATTTGCATGATATCATCAGTGTGGCAAAACTCCTTCTAAAGAGTTTATTTTCTTTGTAAGAGTTAAACAAGGTCCATAATTTAGTAGAAATGTGATCTAATTTTTACCATATAGTATATGTTTCTTGCCTGGTTACCAAGTTAAGTATGCATATGCAGTAATAACAAACATTTACTTAATGTTATTCTTTGCCAAGAATGTGCTTTCTATATATTTACGAACTTAAGCCTTCTTCAAACCATGTTAAGAGAGGCCATTCAGTTTTTACCACCCCGTTTTAGATGAAGGAACAGAAACACAGGGGGAAACTGGCCTATATTCCACCGTTAACAATGGGTTATTATGGCCTCATAATATAGTCGTGAATTTGGGTTTTTAATTTTACTTACTTAGGCATACAAGAACTGGGGTCTAAGTCAGAGAGGCCTGGTTGAGAGGATTCACCAGAGACACAGTGGGGAGCCAAACAGTCAGATACTTCTGAGGGGGAGCATCAAGGGAGTCAGGAGAGGTCTGCTGGGATCAAACTCCTGCTGCAGCGCTGGCAACAGCTTGACAGCTTTAACAGCTTTAACAGCTTGACAGCCTTTAACCTGGGTGCCACCAGGGAGGCTCCTAAATTCTTAAATTAGTAACAGGATGGTCCCCAGGGAAAGGGGAGGTTCTAGCTTCCCTGTCCCACCCAAGGGAGGGTGGAGCTGAGCAGGGAGGAGGAGAAGTTGGAGAGAGAGGAGTCTGGGGAAGGAAGGAGGGAAGGAAGCAGGATGGAGAGCCAGAGGAGACCTGGAGGAGACACAAGAAGCAGAGAGACATGTGAAGAAGCTGCGCTTGCTTCTTGGTCCTGGACTGGGTGAAACATGTGGGTGAGAACCCCTTGGGGAGGTTAACAGTAGCAGCTTTTATCTGGATTTTGTTCCTTTTGACCCAGACATATTTCTACCCCTTTCCTCTGGGCACCACCCTGTTGCAAATTCATTTGCTGAATTATGAATTCAAATACTCGCCTGTTGAAGCCCTGCCCCCAATGCCTCAGAATGTGACCTTGATAGAAAATAGGTTCATTGTAGCTGTAATAGTTAAATTGCGATGAGACCATAGAAGCAGGGGGACCCCTGATCCAATATGACTGGTTCCTTATAAGAAGGGGAAATTTGGGTGCGGAAAAATGCAGAGGGAAGGTGGCATGTGAAATCTGGAGAAGGGCACTACTATACCCTAACGAGGGCCAAAGATGCTGGCAAACCACCAGGAAGAGGCCAGAGGGAGCGGATGGAACAGATCTTCAGTCTTCAGCAGAAAGGGTGGTATTAAGCCAGTCCCACAGAAAGGAAAATGTGGTCTGGGTAGCTGTGTGGACCTGGCCCTGGGCCCTGCATAACCGGAGCACATTCTGGAATGACAAGCGAGCCCTGGGACAGGACCACAAGCCCCGAAGTCTGGGAAGACTTGGTGAACAGGGAAGCTGAGGTCTGTGCAGGTGAAGGCTGCCAGGGGCAAACGGCCTACCCCCGCCCCCCACCCCCTGCTGCGGCCCCCCCCTCCCCCCCAGGCCCGACCAAATGTAGAGGGTCTGGTCAGGGTCTGGTGTGCACCTGTGAGCTGTGTGGAGCTGTTAGTTCAGGGTCTGGTTGTGGCTGTGGGTTTCGAGCTTCTTTTGTGCCTCTGAACGTGAGTGAAGTCAGTTTCGGAGAGGTGTTGGGTTCAGAGGGTGGGGTCCTTGGGTTAACTCTGGGAAGAGCCCCCCTTTCAGCAGCATGCAGTGAGTCTCTCCATGAGAGTTAGTTATCTCCAAAGGGGCAGGCTTAGCATAAAAAGCGGGAAAAGTGTAAAGGACACTTGCATAGACCCAGCCAGGTAGAAAGAGCTGCCCCAGAAAGGGACAGATTTGCTAATAAGAGAGTGGCCTGCGTGGTCCCAGGGCGCAGAAAGCTTAACTTAGCCTACTTCCTGCTAGGGTGGGACTAGGTTGATTTGTAAGGACCAGTGATTATAATGCTCCTCAGGCTCCACTTCCCACTCTGGTCTGCCTGGCCCCTAAGTTTTTTTCATTTTTGTAGCTGCTTTAACGACTATGTTAACCACCTCTACCCCCCACTTCCAGCTTTTGGCCTTGTGTGCCCTAGTTTTCTGGAACCTCCTTTCCAAATGTTCTACTCTTCACCTCCATGAAGCGTATCTTAATGGCAAGATAGTCTTTCCCACACCTCCACCTGTAGGTTTTAAGCCTTATCCCCGCAACACCCAGAAGGTCAGCCCCGGGTGTGGGGGCACAAGAGGTGGACCTCCCAGCAGATTCCCTCCAGCTCTCGGGCTGCAACTGGGGCGTTTCTTCTCCAGAAGTGGGAAATAGAGCTGCGTTTGCACAGCGGTCAGGGTCACAGCTGAGGTTCCAGCCAGCGGGTTCCCTCCAGCGCGCGGGAAGCCGCCAGTCCCGGGACACAGCCCAGGCCAGCTGCAGCTGGCAGGCCACCCCTGGCCATCGCTTTGGAGAGGGAGGGGAAAGGAAGGAAAGGAAGTGGGGGGGGAGGGGCCGGGAGAGGGGCAACCTACTTCCTGAGTCGCCTGCACACCCGCCGCTGGAACTCGTCCGCCTGTGCGCGCGGCAATGTCGGGGACGTCAGCCAGAAGCTGGGCCAAGGGTGAGTCCTGCGGCTGGGGGCGCGGGGGTGCGCTCGCGAGTGGGGATGCGGCTGCTTCGGAACAAAGCCACCGGGAGGGCCCCAGTCGCGGGGACAGGCCGCAGCTGCAGTGCGGGACCGACTTCTGCTGCTGCTCCGGCGCGGCGGGAGACTAGGGGTCCCCGCTGTTCTTGGGGTCCTAACGCTTTGGTTTTTCCTTCGCAGGCAGCGCGCCCCCCGGGCCAGTTCCCGAGGGCCTGGTCCGTGTCTACAGCATGAGGTTCTGCCCGTTCGCCAAGAGGACGCTTCTGGTCCTGAAGGCCAAGGGAATCGGGTGAGGACCCAGGCAGGACCCCCCCACCCCCTGGAGCCCCCCGGGAACCGGCGCTGCTGGCGGCAGGGCTAGGCATCTCGGCTTGGGCCCCCAGATTACTGCCAAGTAAACTATTCTCAACCTTTGGGGGAACCTAGCAAGTTGCGGGGCCCCTCCCCAGGGTGGGGCTGGCTGGAATACCACGGACTCCCCATTTAGATGAACCATTTAGTGGGTTAGAAAAGCTGAGGATCCGGCACAGTTAGTGATTAGCTCTTCGGACTGGTAGCCACAGGCAGCAGCTCTTTGAAATCTGGAAGCTCCCTGAGTCCTGGTCCAGGGTCCTTTCGTTTTCACCCTTCTCCATAGAGGTCGTTTTATCCTGTCCTGCTTGCTGTTGTGCCGAGTATATGCTCCTTTCCTCCACTGTGGGTAATGTACCCTGCTTCGAGTCAAGGCTTTGACACTCCCAGCAGAGTGCTGAGCTAACTGTATGGGGCAAAATCCTGCAGGCTGGGTTGTTGGTTGAGTCGAAGAGTCCATGCCTAAAAGGCAGCCTTCCACCAAGCCTCACTGAAACTAGCTCGCTGGGGGGGGGGGGGGGGGGGGGGGGGGGGGGGGGGGACACACATAGGACTTATCAGCTGACACGTGCAGTCATCATGTGGCCTTCCTCTGAGGCCAAGTATTGTTTTACTAGGTCCATAGCCTCTGGAGGGCTAACTCAGGAAGCTGGAAGGTTTCTCTCAGGTCTCAAGCCAGATTCATCGAGCTGCATGTGAAATTTGTTGGGGAGAATCCACATCAAAGTAATATCATATAATTGGAAGCAAAAGGAGAGAATGGTAGTAAACCTCTTGGCAAAGTTCAGGAGACTCAGAGCACAGAGTGGGTGGGACCCTGTTGGGAGAGCTCAGGCCGTGTCAGCCCACCTCAAGGAGCCGGGGATGCTAGTTCTCAGGCGAGAGGTGGAGGAGACTCCTGAGAAGCCCAGGACCACGGACTTGGAGTCAGCACATAGCAGCTTGCCTTAACTTTGGCGCCTTAACTTTAGTACCTACATTTATGCCAGTTTGTCAGGAACATCTTATCAGGACTACCCGTTAATTTTGATGTTCTGTAGGTCCTTTCCACAGCCAGGATTTTTGCTTTGACATGTCTGTTTATCAGTCTTTTGTAAACAAGTGGCTGAGGGTCTTCCTGGTGGTGCAAGGAGTTAAGTCTCAGCACTGTGAAGTTACCAGCAGCCACTGCAGCACAAGTTTGATCCCTGGTCAGTTACCCACATGGCACAGCAGACTTCTCCTGACCCACCCACTGCTCCCCTCAGCAGTGTATTTCAGTCAGTCCACCTGTTTTGCTCCCTATTCTGTCTCTGGTGAATCCTCTCACCTCTTGCCACCCCACTTCTGGCCTACACCCCAGCTCTTGTATGCAAAAATAAATAAATCTTTTTTAAAAAGTGGCCGATATTGTCCCCACCTTCCATTAGTCAGTCATTTCAATGTTAGTATAGATAACAAGTATCTTTTGTAACCTTCTCCCTTCTGATGACCTTTGGAAACTTGTTGAATAGGATATAGCAGATACCATGGTGTGGAAGATTCTGTGGTGTTTTATTTTTAAAGATTTGTTTTATTTATTTATGCATACAAGAACTGGGGTATAGGCCATAGGTGTGGGGGTTGGGACAGGGAGTGAGAGGATTCACCAGAGACAGAGTGGGGAGCAGAGCATGCAGGTGTACTGAAATCTGCTGCTGAGGGGAGAAGCAGGAGAGACAGGAGAGATCTACTGTGCCATGTGGGTCAGCTCCCTGGCCAGAGATGGGACTCATGCCACAGTGGCTGCTGATAGCTTGATAGTGCTGAGGTTTAATTCCTGCACCATTAGGGAGGCAGTTTAAAAAATAATGCCCTTTTTTAAGGAATATTTTGTCTGTGTGCTTAGGGTTTATAAACTAATTTTAGTCTTCTAGAGGGAGGATTAGGTAGGCAATTCTTTGTCCTAAAGAAATGTTCTATGCATTCTAAATATATATATATTGGATGAACCACCACTAAGATTTGCATCTCATTTGGACAAAATTATGATTCTGAACACAGAGCAAGATATTCAACATTTACTAACATTTATATACAAAAGACTATTACTCAAAATACTGTAATACTGTGATGTTAGAACTTTCTCACCAATTCAAATTGTATTAAAAAGACACAGCTTGTGCATCTTACTTTCATAACTAAAAAGTCTAGGAACAGAACATGGCTGGATTCAGGGCACGAAGTTCTGTTTTATTGGCCTTCCCAGAACTCTAGGCTGAAAAGTACCTTATCCTCTGGGATAGTTTTCCACAAGAGACTTGAAATTATGTTGCTGTAAGAGGGTGTGTAATGAGTGGTGGAGAGTGGGCCAGCCACCATAGTGCAGACAGAGATCCTCACTTTCAGACGTACATTCTAAGTTGATCCCCAGGAGACATTCATCTGAGCGGCACTAGGTCTTTGCCATAGGACATAAACTAAGAAAGGGTGGTTTTCTCTAAAAGGTGCATGTTTCAACCTGGGGCTTGTGTTGACTACTGGTTCACAGCACAGCACTTGGTCAACACAATGCTTGTATCTTAGCACAAACCCAGGGCCTAGCTTTTGTTTTCATAGTGTCAATTTTCAGGGGTGTTGACAGTTCCTTGACAGGAGTTTTGTTTTTCTTGTACTGGTTCTTATCTGCCTGTCTAGTAATGTGTCAGCACCTGAACCTTTTAATACACACCTGCCCATGCATGCACACACATGCTCAAATTGACTGTTGCTTTGTTTCCACGGCTGAGTACGCGTTTAAATCCTCAAACTAAATGCTGTTCCAATGGCAGTGGATGGGGAGTTAGGAATCAAAAGACAGTGGTGTTTATTTTTCAGTAACTAATCTGTTGTACAGTTATCCAGTTTTGACTATATGAAACCTTCTTTCTCTTATTTCCTCTACAACCTAAGGTGAGCTACAAATCAGATCTAATTACAGTCTGAATATAGCCTGAACGTTAATCTGTTTTCTTCCTTTGGGGTTTATGTTATATGTTTTACCTATGCAACATTTTAAAAAGGATTTTATTTTATTTATTTAGGCATACAAGAGCTGGGCTACAGGCTAAAGGTACGGGGGTGGGGTGAGGAGATTCACCAGAGACAGAGTAGGGAGCAGAACAGATGGATTCACTGAAACACAGTGCTGGGGGGAGCAGCAGGCGAGACAGGAGAGGTCTGCTGCGCCATGTGGGTCAGCTCCCTGGCTGGGGATTGACCTGGTGCTGCTGTGCCTGGTGAGAGCTTCATAGTGCTGAGACTTCATCTCTGTGCCACCAGGGAGGCCCTTAGCATTTCAGCTTATTGAAAATTTTGCTTTTACTTGTATATTAATATGAAGGATGAGACATATCAGGAACCCTGCTTTCATGGAGTAACGTATAATGGTTACATAAATAATGAGCAAAGTCATTGCAGAAACATTAGTCCAATGAAGACGATAATACAAGATGAGTCACTAAACAGAGGTTCTCAGCATCTTCAGAGCTGCGGAGGAAGTGTCTCTTAGGAAGTGGCGTTTGACCTGGGAATACAGATAAGCACAGGCAGGAACAGCAAATGCCAACGCTGTTAAGGTGGGAATGAAAGAGTGTGGGGAGATCATGAGAGCCAGAGTCAAAGGTGTGACAGGTAAGTCACAGCCAGATCCAATGTGCTTTATTTGCCATGGAAAGTTTAGAGTTTACCCTTTGGCTGTGTAGGCCAGTCTGGCTTGGAAGCAGATGGTGGCCTGACTGAATTTACTGTTGTCAAAGTCCAGCCTGGCCGTGGATTGAGAAGGGAGTGGGAAATCCACAGTGGACACAGGCCAGTTGTAGATGGCAGGTGACGGTGGTGTGGTGTTACAGCTGAGAGGTGGATCAAGTCAGGCTGATTTGGAGAGGAAGCTGATGTCTTTGCTGATCAACTGACTCGAGCCAGTGAGAATGGGGTGAAGCAATCAAAGTCCAGCGGACTTCTAAATAGGGGGTCAGGTCAGTTAATTGATCAATTTAGTAAGAAATACAAACACTGCTTCATTCTCTTCACTCTCAGGCATGAAGTCATCAACATCAACCTGAAAAATAAGCCAGAGTGGTTCTTTGAGAAGAATCGCTTGGGTCTGGTGCCCGTTCTGGAAAACAGTCAGGGGCAACTGGTCTGTGAATCCGCCATCACCTGCGAGTACCTGGACGAAGCATACCCAGGGAGGAAGCTGTTCCCGGAGGACCCGTATGAGAAAGCTTGCCAAAAGATGGCCTTTGAGATGTTTTCCAAGGTGTGTAGAGGGAATCGCCATTCCTCCTCACAAACTTTGTTCCACTCCCTTCATTGTCTTTCAGGCACCAAGTCACCGACATCAACCTATGTTTTGTTTTTAAGATCTTTTTATTTATGCATACAGAACTGGGGTGCAGGCCAGAGGTGTAGAGGCGGTGAGAGGATTCACCAGAGACAGAGTGGGGAGCCGACCGAGGAAATACACTGCCGAGGGGAGCAGCAGGCAGGTCAGGAGAGGTCTGCTGCGCCATGTGGGCCAGTGCCCAGGTGGGGATGGAACTCGTGTGAGCTTCATATTGTTGTGCTTTAACCTGTTTCGCCACCAGAGAGGGCCAGACTCACTGAGTTTGAAGCTAAGTCAGTGCTGTCATTTGATTCAGTGATTTGGGAGAGGACGGTGGTCTTCTCAGCTCTGACGTGTCCTCAGGCCCGTCCATGAGGCCGTCCCTACTGTCTCTCTAAACCTCGCTCTGCTCCTGGCACTTTATGTTCCAGCCATACTGAACTTTTTTCATTTCCCCAAACGTACCACCTTCTCTCTTGACTACTGCTAGAAGATCAGTCCTTCTTCTCGTTCTGCTCACTTCCTCTTCACATGCAGGTTCCTCTGCTATCCAAATGGAGGACTCCTAAGGAGACTTTCATGGCCAAATGGTATAAATTAAAAAAGTGCTACTGTTACTTTACATGGAGTTTTTTTTTTTTTCAATATTCTCAGACCCCTCAAAAATAACCTGCCAGGGCTCTCCCTGTGGCACAACAGGTTAAAACACCACATTATGAAGCTCTCAGAAGCCAGTGCAGCATGAGCTTGATCCCCCGCCAAGAAGCTTACCCTCATGGTCCGGCAGACCTCTCCTGACCCGCCTGCTGCTCCCCTCAGCAATGTACTTTGTCAATCTGCCTGTTCTGCTCCCCACTCTGTCTCTGGGGAATCCTCTCACCCACCACATCTCTAGCCAGTACCCCAGTTCTGTGAGCATACGTAAATAAATCTTAAAAAAAAAAAATAACCTGCCAAATCCTATCAAGTAAACCTGATGCTAACATATCGCGAAGTCAGGGCTGACCTCATGCACAGCCTGTGTTCCCAGGAGGGAGCTTCGTGGTGCCTCTCTGGCCACTGCTACAAAACAAACTCCTTTTGCCTTTTATTGTCAACGCAAACCTCCCCCTCAGATCTCTTTTGAAGGGCTACAAGAGGTAAGCAAATAGCATTAGCTGTTGGTCCAGTCACGGTCTGCTGCTGAGCGTCCAGGGTGCCCCCAGTGTATTGGCAGTTGCTTTTAGCTGACTGAATGTGGATCTTTTGCAAAAGCTGTAGAGACTAAACAAACCAAGGTCATGTCAAAGTACAGTTTTAAGAAGACTAATGAAGAACATTGCAAGGGGAATCGAGACACTCAAGAGAATATAGAGTAAATGTTTCTGGAGAAGCAGAGATGAGAGGCCAGGCAGGTCCAGGTGCAAAGGCGGATGGTCAGAGCGGCCTGCAGACCTTCAGTTCTGAAGCAGGCAGACAGGACAGGTGGGACTGCGGGAGACTCCCCTGTATCTTACAACTATCTGTTGAGTTAAACTGGGATGAGTGGACATGCTTCTTGCCATGAGATGATGCCAGAGATGAAGTGTTAAGGCACACAGACACCTCTGCCGGCATTAGAGCATCTGGCAATGCCCCTGTCGAGTCTCCAGGCAGTCAGCCCCTTTAGAACAGTCTTCTCGAGTCCTCTCCAAGATGGAAATCAGAAAAATTCTCTTTCCTAGTTCCCTTTAAAGCTGCAGCCAGAGCCTGGGACCTTGGTTCTTCTTACTGGGAGCTGAATTCAGAAATGAGCAGTGTGAGAAACAGCCTGGTGTAGGGTGCAGGTCTGCTGGTGAGAGTGACTGGGGGCAGGGCTCCTGGCCTTCGGGCTTTGCAGGGGTAAATCCCAGGCAGAATCAGCTCCCCTGAGAGAGGCATTGGCTACTTCGAGTCCGACTTCTGGCAACCACGCAGTAGCAGCACCTTGTGTTCAGCTCACTGGAGCTTCTCACCATCAGGCTGGTTCTGAGCATCACCGGGGAACTTTCCAGCTATTTCATGTGTACGTGCTCAGCCTGCCCGCAATTCTTTGGGCCACTCTATCCATGTCCTTTGAAGCCTTTTTTTTGCCCAAACTTGACAAAATGGGTTCTTTAATTTGCAACTTGTAAAATCCTGATCTATACAGCTCCTCAGACTGTAAATCTGTTTTCAAGATTAGAAAACCACTGCCCCATTGACACTGGGTCAGTGAGCACTCTAGGGTGTTTTTTGTTTTTTTTTTTTTTGAGGGGTTCAGTCTCATTACCCTCAGATTGATAAATTAAAAAAGTACTCTCTGTCTAGGTACCATCTTTGATAACAAGCATTCTTAGAAGTCAAAATAAGGAAGACTGTGCTGGCCTGAAGGAAGATTTGCGGAAAGAATTCAGCAAGCTAGAGGAGGTAATCACTTGCTACCTCCAGCTTCTTTTGGAGTAAATGATATACTATATCCACCATCTTCTTTTTACACTTCTCTTCATATTTTCATTTCCCAAATCACTTTATAGCAATTAGAAATAATTCCAGATAAGCTATATGTTTGGTATAAACATCAAAACACGTCTTGTCATGAGCCTGCCTTTAAACCATTTGGTGGCGTTGATATTAAAATAACATGGACACAATAAATTTAATCCTTATGCCATGATTTGTCACCTGTTTCATTTTTCCTTGTTTATTTCCTATTCCTATCCATATATTTTTTAAAAATTAACATAATTAGAGCATAGAGAACATGTTCTTATTTCCTTTTCATATAATAAACATTTCTCACTTCCAAAAATTTGCCAGGAGTCATACAGTTACTTGTGGTTGCCCAGATATGTTTTTACCTCCTTTGGAGAAAAGCTGCCTTCTGGGCCTTTTGATGGAGTCTTGCTCTTGGCCTTGAGATATTCCACTCACTCTCAGCCTTAAGTAGTGACCGAGGGAAGACAATTCCATTTTATGAGACTGCATCCTAGCATTTTGCCATTAACATTTATTAATTTGCTGTAGATTTTCTCAGAAAGTTTATTTTTTTACAGTAAGAAAGTTCTGTGACTGGTTTGCTAATTGTAAAAAAGTCATGAATGAGTATTAAATTTTATTGATTTTTCTGCATCTATTATAACAATAGACATTTTCCTTCAGTCTGATGTAATTATGGTGCCATTTGCTAGGATAGTGTCTGCTCGACAGGGGAGAAGGTGGAAAGTGAGATGTAGTCCATTTTCTCCAAGATGATTGGTTTTATAAACAGTTCACAATTCAGAATGTGATATGAGCTTTGAGACAAACTATGGATTTTTTATAAAGGGTAAATTGGTTCGGTGTTAATTAGCCAGATAATATTCTCAGTTCACCCCTCTGGCAAAACCATAATAACAATTCATCTTCTTAAATTTCTTAAACATACTATTTGTGCTCAGTTTGCAATTAATTTGATTTGACATCTGTTTAATAGTAGATTTGGTTATTTGCAGCATATTTTAAGTAAATCTGTTATTGTGTTGTACACAGAGAAGTACACAAAGCATGACTACAACTTGATGAATTTTCACATAACGAACACAGCCATGGAACCAGCAGCGTATCAAGAATAAAGAGCATTCGTTTTGGCTGGTTTATACATTATACACATGGAATCTTATAATGTGCACTCACTGGGGTCAGCATTAGGCTTGGGATAACCTCCTATGTTGCATCTAGCTCATTCCTATTCTTGGTACAGTGTTTCAACGTGACTACACCACAGTTTACCCATTTGACTCCTGGTGGACAGCAAACATTTCCGTGTTTGGGCTGTTACAAATAGTGCTGCAGTGAATGCTCTCACACATATCTTTTGGCTAATCTGTGTTCACGTCCCCAAGGAGAATAACTACTGGGTAATAAAGTGTGCCTGCATTCATCTTTAGTAGGTAGTTAAAACTTGGATGGTATCAGATTACACTCCTGTCAGCTGTGGTTCCACATCTTTGCTAACTTTGTCTTGTTCTTTTTCGCTATTCTGATGGATGTGCCGTGCTATGATATTTGGGATGGAATTTGCATTTTCCTAATGACTAATGTAGTTGAGCACTTCTTCAAATGGTTATTGGCTATTTATTTGGAGATCATATTTTGTGATGCTGAAGACTTTCTCAATATTCTAATGGGTTGGCTGCCTTTTTCTTAATGACTTTCAGGAATTTTTTTCTATATTGTGAATCTAGGGCCTTTGTTGGTATATGTGTTACAGAGATACTGTACTCTGTGACTTTTTTTTCCCCCCTCCCAATTCCAGTTTATTTTGTTTGTTTTGCTTCATCCCAAACCAATAGATTTTAAAGCTTAAAGTGATCAGACAAAATGTCAGCTTGGATATGTCAGGATAAAAGCTCTCACTCTGTTTAACTCAACCTATGTCATGCCTGGTGATGAGTCTTACTAAATACACAAAATAATTACTCTTATGCTGTTTAATATTCAGGTTTTGACCAGTAAGAAGACAACATATTTTGGTGGCAGTTCTCTTTCTATGATTGATTACCTCATCTGGCCCTGGTTTGAACGGCTGGAAGCAATGGCGTTAAATGAGTAAGACGTTTGAGTATTTTGTGCATGTTAGGATAATAATAATTGTTGTAATACATATTGACCTTCTCTCTAAACAAAAATCAAAAGTATTTTATACACCTGTATGAGTGGGAGCAAGCAGACAAGAGAGTCCTGGACTAGCCACAGCATGTCATATGTCTACACCGAACACTCCTCCCCATCTCTGGGTTGGTGGGGAAATTCTTGACCCTCCTGGGTAAAAATTCATAAGGATGTCAAGTTTTAAAGGAATGCGCTGCAGGAACGTGTGACCAATGTTACCTCCCATTTGCCAGCAGGATTCACACACTATTTTCAAAATTCACATTTTGAACTTGGTGGTGGTGATCTTGGTTTACTCACACTTCTCAGAGCTTAGAGCTACTTGTAGGCACAATCTGGCTATAGAATAATGAATAACATTCTTGGTTATCTTTCATGTTCTCATTTTTCTAAATTATCAGTCTCTCAGTTTGGACGAGTTATTGTGCCGAACAAGTTACACTCTAGATTCTATGAAGATATTACACTCTGTGTAATATCTTCCAAATTGAATGTTCTATGATTACATGCATTTTAAAGAAATCTCTAAAAGTTTAGAAGAAAACAAAATGAAATTGCAGAATGATAGAATGATACCCAGGACATTGTAATGCCCCTTTAGTTCCCCTGCTAATGCCTCCATTCTTCCTTCCTCCCAAAGGTGTGTAGACCACACTCCGAAACTTAAACTCTGGATGGCAGCTATGAGGGAGGACCCTGCAGTGTCAGCCCTATTCATCGATGCGAAGGCCCTTCGAGGTTTCTTAGATTTGTACCTGAAGGACAGCCCTGAGGCCTGTGACTATGGTCTCTGATGGAGGTGCGAGTCAGCGATGATTCTGTCTGATAATTTCTGGTGTGAATAATAACATGCTTTTATTGTCAAGTGCTCTCATGTGTTACTGGCTCACTTTCTCTGATTTGACATCATGGCCTAATTGTGAGGTTTCCTCACGCTCCTGCAGCAATGTAAACACTTTTCCTGCCTTAGGATGTTCAGCTGACTCAGGGGTCTATCTTCGTCTATCCTGAAAACCTCTCAGTTATCTCTAAGTGAGAGTTGGGCTTCAATCTAGATTTCCAGCTCCTCATAGGATATTTTTTTTTCACTTGGATCCCTCCTTATTTCAAAAGATGCTTTTCAAGTTTGTCTTCTGGGCTCTGAGCTCAGCAACTTTCAATTTCTCATTCTTTCCTTTCCATCAGCAACTTTATTTCACTGTTTTTCTTATTCCCATTGTCACCCCTGAAGACCCCCCCCCCCAATCACCTCAAAGCCAAATGACTAGGAGGCCTATTTGGTCTTCAACCCTCCAGTCTGTACCCCCTACAAATCCTTCCCACCAAATTCCATGCTGGGCATGTAGCAGGTATCCCATATACGTTATTAAATAATGTGAAGCCCACACTGTCAGCTCAGTGTGTAAGGCTGGGTGAGATTGCGGTAATACTGTCTTCAGAAATACAATGCCGCCTTCATAGGCTTTATCACCTCAGCTCATTCGACACATGCTCACACTAAGGTCCCCAGCTTCAGTAAGGTCTTAAAATGCTGGCAGAGAGACCAGGGAGACACACTCAGCTCACTGCTCTTCTATCATCCAAATAGGCAGTGGTCGGCTCACCCTAATTCAGCCTGGTTTTCTGTCCTCACTTGCAAGTTTACCAGTGAAGAAAACCTCTGGACGGTTAGTTCTTAAACATCTCAGCACGACGCTGATTTGATTCGGCTGGTCCAGGAGAAGGCCCTAGGTCCACATTAGGGGCAAGCCCCGCCCTCACCCCCCACCCCCACCCCAGGCAGGGCAGGCAATCTGGGGGCCGCCCTGGAGAATTGGTTGACTTCACAAACGGCCGGCCGCCGCCCACGCCCCGTCTCCCGGCGAGCCCCCTCTGCCGCCCTCCGCCAGCCACAACCTCCAGGCCCGGCTCGGCTGCCCGAGCCGCTGCCTTCAGGCCGGGACGACGTAGCGCAGAGCGGCGGCTGCGGGGTACACCTTGGGCCCCGGCCGCGGGGCCGCCCCGCGCAAGCTGCCTTTCAGGCGGCCGCCCATTGGCTCAGCTCGGTTCTACTGGCCCGGGCTCCTCCAAAGGCTGTGAGGATCGAGGCCAGGCGGCTGGTAGGATCGTGTCCGAGGGGCTGGCTCGGGCCCCTTCCCCGCCCCGCGCCGCGCCCGCCCCGCGGGTTCCGGGCGGGCCAGCGCCGCCGGGAGGCTGCAGCTACCTTCCGTTGCCTCCGCAGGGTGCGTGGGTCTGCGGCCGCTTGCGAGTGACAGGAGCAGGGGTTAGAGGTCTAGTCTGAATTTGGGGGTTCTCACATTATTTCGAGGCCTAGAACAGGCAGCTTAATTTTGCCCAACGGCTTAGCCACATTTCATCGAAGTCTGTCACATCAAAAAAAGCACAAGAGCTCTATTCGAAGAACATGGGCCAGGTCTTTAAAGCGAATGCCTGTAACGTAAAGGGGGGATCTGAAAGTGCTCTTAGTTTTCTACTTAGTTTGGAGACAAGTGGAGGCGACCCCCAGAGCCCTAGTTCTCAGCCCGGCAATTTGCGCGGCGATTTTATATGATAGGGCACTGGCAGGGGGCCGTGTGTTGCCTAGGCTGTCTGGTCTTTGTGAGGACTGTGAGGCTTCCCTGCCACATGCAGATAGCTGAAGGCTTGCCAGTAGGTCCCAGACGGCTAAGTGTAAGTGCTCCCCTAGTACCGGAATTAATCGTCCCAGAGCACACAGTCTGTTGGGAAGTTAGCTCCTTAGCTCAAAATTACAAGTGAGAACACCACTTGTGGTTATTTCCCTAAGGGCCCTCGGCTAGTAGTAAATACTGGAGAAGATCCTGCAGTGCAGGGGGAACTCTTAGTCATTCAGAGCATTCCTGAGGTGAGATTTCACATGCTTCTGATTCACTCCCCTTTCAATCATCAGCCTTTAAGCTCTTAGAGGTCGGGCCAGGGGAGGGTAGGATCACTCTGGATATACTGTCACGGCGGATTTATCAGACAGTGTAGATGTCCTTTTTTCCAAACTCAGTACTTTGGCTTTACAGATGTTGACTTGGCAGATTTCAGAATCTGGAAGTTCTGCCTTTTGCTTATTCAGATGTATCAAAATATTTCCCTTTGATCCCTCAAACTGTAAAGGGAAGTGGGTCTAGGAAAACAGAAGCACAAATCCTTACAAAGTCTCTGACTGCTTTTCCTAGTGGGAAGATGAAGTCCCTCCTCTGACGACTTCAGTTGCCACTCAGTGAGCTTATACACTATGTCCCAGATTTGTGGTTACCCAAGGCAGGGAGGGTGGCAGAGTGGGTGAATGTGGTCAGAAGATATAACCTTCCAGTTATGAGATAAATAGGTTCTGGGGATAGAATGTACAAAATGATGACTCTTAGCATAGCTGTATGGTATATTTGAAAGTTGCTAAGAGTATAATGTAAATGTTCTCCCAAGGAGGGAAACTGACATAGTTATCTGAGGAAGGTGGACGTTGACGAATGTCTGCAAATCATTTTACGGTATGCTTGTCAAATCATTGTACACTACACCTTACACTTATAAGGGACCGTATGTAATTATATTGCAACACTGGAGAAAAAAAGAAGTCCCAAAGACATTAGAACCAGGAGTCGCTATGATCGTACCCTCTCGGAAACAAGTCTTATTTTTGGCCCATTTGAAAATGGAGAGTTTTCCTCACTCATCTCACTCTTTGAACTTGGTGGACAATACTGGAACACTCACCAACAGTGTCTGTCTTGTAAATTAAGCTTCTGAAACATTAAGAGGAATGTTCTTCAGTTTCCACCATCAGGAATTGATATGACAAAAACAATTGGAAAAATGCAAAACCCTCTTCCGCTTCTCAAAACACCAACTCACTAAATAGAGTGTGATCATGATTTCTGTGGTGGCATTCTTTTTGTCCAAGTCTCAAGTCATTCTTACCCAGAACTGAAATTTCCCACACTTTCAAAACAGAACTATTAAGTTTTCAGGTAGCTGGAAACTGCTTTGGAGGAGGTTTAATATGACCATACTACCATTTGTTTCTTGCTTGAGTGAGTCAGTATAGTGAAGGTGTAAACATGATATAATAATGTAGAAGGAATGTTTGCATAGGGGATTCCAAAGTCATACCTATTGTGTCTTGAAAAGGAAGTAGTGATAAGGTTAAGTCCATAATTAAAATCTTTCCAGGGAAACCAGGATGTTCAGTGGTAAGATTAAAAACCACATTACTGAAAAGTCGCCTGCAGTCCTGAGCCCATTCCCTTGGCATTGAAGTAGTAAGGCGAAGTAAATGTTTTGATTTTAATTTTTTTTTAAAGATTTATTTATTTATTCATACAGAACTGGGGTACAGGCCAGAGATGCTGAGGGTGAGAGGATTCACCAGGGACAGAGTGGGGAGCAGAACAGGCAGATGGAGGAAGTACACTGCTGAGGGGAGCAGCGGGCGGGTCAGGAGAGGTCTGCCATGCCATGTGGATCACCTCCTGGGCAGGCGGGGATCGAACTCATGAGGTTGTGGCTTAGGCTTCTTAGTGCAGTGCTTTCACCCGCTGTGCCACCAGGGAGGGCCCTTGATTTTAATTTTAATGTTAATATACTTGCGAAGCTGAATGCAGTGCATTTCATCTTCTTGGATCCAAAATTGGAATGCACTATGCTCTTAAAATTGTTCTTCCTCAATCAGTCATTGATTGAGCTCCTACTGAACTGGGAATGGCCACTGCCATTTCCTTCTGTGTGCACACACCTGTCAAGTGGGTACCATTAATCGTTTCATTTTATAAATGTGGAAGATGAAGGGCAAAGAAGATAGCTTGCCAAGCCCCAACGCCAGGATTTGAATAGAGTACCAACTGAAAACCTTGACACTCTGCTGCTTTGTGTCAGAGGAGAGGATTCACCTCAATTTGTAAACACGTGTTAAAAGCAAAGGGTGCTTTTTAGGGGTTTTGTTCTCTCCTGCTACTTTCTGGCTTTGATTCTGGGCGGTGCCTAGCTCCAGTTGCAGATCAAGTCCACTCTGCCTCACCTGGGCCCAGCCACTCAAAAACTGAATTTGGGGCAGGAGGGGCCACACCTGAACGCAGTTGTACCTGCAGGATTCGGCTTGGACGAGCTGGCATCCGAAGCTGAAGCTGCAACAATAGAGCTGGAAACCATGAGTGAGGATGCCATTAGGAGCTTGGGGAAAGGTGAGTCCGCGGGACACAGCACTTGCGGGTCGCGGGCTCTGGTGGCTGAGGATGCTGGGTCCGGAAAGGGGGAGGCCCAGCTTCGCCCCAGGCCTGCATAGCGAAGAGGAGTTTGAAGGGTTCTCCTGCACAAAGCCCCAGGGAGGCGACTTGGGCCCTGGCTCGCCTGCCCTCGGGCTAATCAGCCTTCCCCTTCTCGCTCTGCGCGCCGCAGGCAGCCCGCCGCCGGGGCCCGTCCCGGAGGGCCTGATCCGCATCTACAGCATGAGATTCTGCCCCTACGCGCACCGGACGCGCCTCGTCCTCCGGGCCAAAGGCATCCGGTGAGAAACGCAGCCCAGTTCTCCGGGATGTGGAAACAGGGCGCGCCTGTGGGTTTCCTCTGTAGCACAGTCAGTAGAGTGGTGCCAGGTTCTGCAAGGGTTAGTGGGAATAGAAGGACCCTGGCAGCGGGGCGCCCAAGGGTCAGCTCGGTGAACCCCGGTGCTGCGGGTGCCCGGTAGTGTGGAGGGGGCCGCCGCGTCCGCTCCTGTCGTGTTTCTCAAGGTCTAGTGTCACCTCTGCGTCCACTCTAGGTGGTTGGTGAGCACTGGTCGCGTGCCCACGCGCGGGGTTGTAACTGATATGGGTCACAGGCCGGGAGCTCTCTTGCAGCACAGAACTGGATCCTGGCATGCTCGCTTCTGTTTAAACAGGTGCCTCACTGGTGGATTTGTTGTTTGGGGTTTAGCCCTGAGTTGGGGGCCGTCCTGGTTCTGAATACCCCAGCATGGAGACCCAGATGATCTGACCTGTCTCCTCCCACGGTTTGGGTCCGGGCTCCAGCTTTACTGTTGAGCACCTCAGGCTCCAGCCAGTCATCCTCATTCTGCACCACCCTCCTCTGAGGTTTGCCAACAGTGCACCCTCTGTTCTGGGCCCAACTCTGCGCACCCCCTATTCAGTGCGAGCCATGTCTGCTGAGTCCAGGGTATGGCTGTGTGCCCCAGAGCACAACTGTAGGGTTGCCAGCAGATGCTGCCTCTCCCATTGTGGGTGCTATGATCGCCCCGTCACTTAGGTGCCGTACACTTGAGGTTTTCTCTGCCACTTTCCTGGCATGGTTTCCTGGCATGGGAGCACCCAAGCTGTGTGTGGTCCTGGGTTTTCCTCTCCGGCGTGGCTTTGTTCTGCCACAGTCTAGCCATGAGGACTGGAGAGGTTAGCCTGACACCTCCATGCTGCCCATCTGGCTGGATTCCCAGTTTTGTTTTTTACCCATTTTCCTCCAGGCCTGCCACCCGCTCCTGTTCCCCTCCACACACTACCACCTCCAGCTTGAAAATGGGAATTCTTGAGGGTAGGGGCTTGGTCTCTTTTATTCATGGGCTACAAGAGCTGGAATAGCGTGGGGTGTTGTTGTTTTATGATTATTGTTTGAATAAATGAGTTAGAAGGAATTATTTATCATGGGGCCTCCTGAAGTTTTTGACATAACAGACCTGGTATGTGTGTCCTTCCAGCTGGAATTTTGCAAGGCTAGCAGGTCTGGATCTGGAAGGTAGAGCAACTTCGCTGCCGGGACCTCAGAGCTGCAGTGCTGTCCAGACTTTGGACTCTTCTTGGGGGGTCCATTGTTAGGGAATGGCTCGGAGTTTCATATCCCTGCCAGAGAAAAACAGGCACTAATACAAAAATGTTTATAATTTAGACAGATGGTTTATCCATAGTGACACAGCAACAGCTTCGGAACTGATGTCAGTATATCTTTAGGGCAAGCTTTCTCCACCTTGGCACTATCAATATTTTGTGCCAGGGAGTCTTCATTGTGGCGTGTCTCTATGGGAGGGGAGTCAGCCTGTGTGTTTTGGAATGTCGAGTGGCCTCCCTGGTCATCAGATGATACTACACTCCCTCCTTCTCCAGCTGTGACTACCAAAACCATTGTCTCCAGATATCAGATGCATGAGGCTCTAAAAAATAGTGACTTACGTCGTCCTTGGTTAAGTGTACAAACTAAATCACACAGCCTGGACTCTGATCTTGGGGCAACTGCTGGAGCTGTGTTCCTCACAGGTGTGTTGTTCAGTGTTTTCTCTGTCTTTTCTCATTTGCTTCTTGTGATTCCCTGGTTTACTCCTGGGGGAATTACAGGAGCAAAGCAGATAAGGCATAGAGACTGTTTCACCTACCTTACTGTAGGAATGCAGGCAATGATGTTATGTATGTTTCTTTGACCAGAACCTAAACTTAAAAAGTTCATTGCAAATTGTAATTTTATAAATGATCGCTTCTGCTTGCAAGATGAGTGTCTGCCTGCATCAGCCTTTCATTTACATTCCATCTTGCTTTCCCTTTGCTTTTGAAGACACGAAGTCGTCAACATTAACCTAAGAAACAAGCCTGAATGGTATTATACAAAACACCCTTTTGGCCAAATTCCTGTGCTGGAGAACAGCAAATGCCAGCTGATCTATGAATCTGTCATCGCCTGTGAATACTTGGATGATGCTTTTCCTGGAAGGAAGCTGTACCCGTATGATCCTTATGAGCGAGCTCGCCAAAAGATGTTATTGGAGCTGTTCTGTAAGGTATAATCAATTTTTTAAAAAGCCACTTATACTATTTTACTTTGTATGCCTTTCTCCAACTTTAACCCATTTTTAAAGCCTCATTATTGGTGGAAACGTCTTAATACTACTTGTGCTTTGTGAGGATAACTGGTGTGGAATCATAGCAGGTGTGTGAACTCAGGGGCAAAAGCTTAAGTGATAGGTGCTTTTCCACTTCAACTAGCAGTCCTAAGAGGTTCGGTATGGCATAGTCATTACTGTGTCACTTGAGATGGGGAGATTGAGCTGAAACTTCATGTTGCTTTCAAGGGAATATTTATAAGGTTTCAGGTAAAAAAAAAAAAGGGGGGGTGTAAAGAATATAATGCATAGAAGGGGTTGCCCTTTACGGGGAACGGGAGTGCTAGCTGCTTGGGAAATGCAAGAAGAGAGAAAGGGTTATCCGTGGATAAGGATAAAAAGTGATGGTGAAATTTTTAGTTCTTTTGAACTGAAGTAAAAATAGCTCAATGACATTCATTGGGCACTTACAATGTGCTAAGCATTGCCTTAACTGCTTTTTGAAGACTGACTCATTCCCCCTCACAGTGGCCCTGAGGATGGGTACTGTTACTGGATCCATTTTTCAGATGAGAACACCGAGGCTTACAGGGGTTCAGTGCCCTGCCTAAGACTGTACGGCATGGAAATAGCTGATCAAATAAGGAGCACTGGAGAACCCCTGTTAAAGCTCCTGGTTTTACCAGGGTGCTGTAACAGTTGGGTTCCTGGAACTACTGAGGTGCCATGCAGAGGGAACTGGGGAGCCGGGGTGTTGATTTTCTGAGTTGGAGTGACAAAGCTTTGGCTGCATTTTTGGGAAGAGCAGGAGCACAGCATTCCCTCAGTCTTCTCCACTAAGAACATGTGTCCTCTGATTAGGTCCCACAGTTGACCAAGGAGTGTCTGGTAGCAATCCGATATGGGAGAGAGTGCACTGATCTGAAGCTAGCCCTGCGTCAGGAATTCTACAACCTTGAAGAGGTACAAAAGGGCCCCTCCTAATTAGATGCAGTGGCAGGGCCAATGCAGGTTGCTGATTTAAAATTTCTCCTCGACACCCAGAGACACTCTGCGTTCACAAGATGACTCTTTGCTGCACATTTTGATAAGCTCAGCTTCTAGCCTTCTGGGTTTAACTTGGGCTGCTCCCCACCTCTGACCTGCTCTGAATTATTCTTGAGAATCTGGCAAAGAGTGGGGGAGGGCCTGGATGAATTTCTTCCTTCCCCAAAGTCACTACTTTCCTTAGGTATCTTGCAAGGCTTCTGTAACTGCTACCAATGAAACCAAAGTCCATCTTGTAAGGGATCTTCTTTGCTGCCAGGTAAAAGGACTTAACTGCTATAAATTTATCTTTTGAGGGTTTATTCACTCACATAAGGAAGCCTGGGGTAGGGGAGTTCAGGGCTATTTTGATGGCTTTATGAAGTTACCCGAGACAGAGGCACAGTGTCTCCTTCTATTCTGTCATCTTAGTGCAAGCCTTCCATCCTGAAATTGATAAGACCTTCTGGAAATGCGGGTCACATCTAAATTCCAGGCTGTGAAAAGGAGAAAGGACAAAAGGCTGTGCTTGCCTAATGGGCTTTCTCAGAAATCCTGTCCACGCCTACTGAAGTCTCATTGGCCAGACCTGTGATGGGTCTCATGTTCTGCAGTGGGGGCTAATACAGCTAGTCTTGTAGCTGAGGGTGCCCTGAATAAAATCACGAAGGGGGAAGTGGCCCTGGGTGGTCAAACAGCGGCCTCTGCTAGCTGGTCATGGGCAGTGGAAGGGCTGTTTGCCTCTTACCTCTAGAACAATCTGCAAGGCAGCTTTTTCACTTCCTTGCTGTTTGTTCCAGAAACTGATGAGGTATAAACCTGTTGGCTGCCAGAGAGAATTTTTATCCCCTTAAGGGAAGCCTTCCCTTAAGCTCTGTCAAGTAGAAGCAGATTAAATATATCCGCACTCACAGTGGCCTACCTTGGTTTGCGCAGTTGTGGTGTTTATGGGTGGGGAAGACTTATGTATAAGAAACGCCAACCTTCAGTCTGAGACTAAAGGCTGAGGTGGGATTATCATGGGGGTCTTGGATCCTAGACTTGGCTTTACCAGGTTCCAGAATCATAGGCAAGATTTGGGGCCTCTCTAGGCCTCGGTTTCCATCTCATAAAAGAGGGAGTGTTTTGAGAGTCGTATTCTCAGTGGCTCCGCGTTCTGGAGGCACGGCCTAGGCAGGGTTGGCCAGCAGGCGCTTCCTGGGCCAGCTTCACCCACCAGCCCTGCCTGCTTTCTGAGTGTCTCCTCTCATGGGATAGCATCTGGGGAAAAGGAGGAGCTCTCTGTCAGAGGGAGTTTGGAGCTCTTGTGCATAAAGAATCATTAAGGTCTTTTTTAAAAGATTAGCTGAACGGATCCCATCCTTCCTGGTGACTGTCCATGGATAAATCTTGGTTGGAAGGAAGGAGCCAGGAAGCAAAATCTTTGAATTGAAAGATGATTGAAAACACATGTTGGTTTGTCGCCTTTCTGCTCTCTATTTGAGTGATGGGTGAACACTGCAGACTACAGACTGCTAAATAAATATATTATGATGGAGGCAAAGTTCTTTCGTTGGCGTTCTTCCAGGGGAAGTGACCCCGTATTTTTGTGCCCCGCATTAGGCTCTCAGTGCGCTGTAGACACCTTCTCCTTGACACTTTCCAAGGAGCATCTCTCAAGTAAGAGGGGCTAAGCCTGCTTTGCAGATTGGATAACCTCTCTGTGCAGCCTGAGTAACTAGCTACTATGATACAAACATTAAAGACCTTCAGAGAGCCCAAAGCCGAGGGGAGGAGAAAAAGACTGTGAAGCCCATTTAAAAGCTCGGTGTGTTGGGAGCTAGGCTGGAAGGGGTGAGAGGGTCCCCCTTCATCGACTTCTCCAGGATGAGGTAGAGGCGAGCAAGTAAGACTGGCTTGTGCTGTGGACAGAAAGCGGCCAGAGCTTGGCGGCCAGAGATTGGGGGAAGATGGAGAGGTGGATCCGTCTGGTGCCAAGGGTCTTTTGTCGGAGTTGGTGGCCCTTCTTTCGACTTTTCAAACTCGTGGCCCTGGGGGGGTGGGGAAATCTGATTCCATCAGGAATAGGGAGGGGCAATATGGTGCTGGAGATGGGGATTTTACTGGAAGTTTTTGGGGGATAAGATGAGACGGAATCTGAGGAGAGAAGGCTGTTCTTTTGGGTGGTTTCCCTTTCTAGCCAGGAACTAGGATGTTTTCATTGAGGAAGCATCAGGGGGAAGATAGATTTGCTCAGCAAGCTGCTGGTGGGATATCCCTATGGCAGAGCTTATGAGCGAGGTAACATGCGCGGGGGGCCCAGACCTTGGGGGTGACCTTACTGCCTGGGAGCTTGACTTACCCAGGACAGAGCCCCTTTCAGATGTGACTTGGCATTTGCCAACAGCGATTTCTCTTTCTGTTGAAGTTAGGACTCAGTGGAGGGGGTGGGACCGGCAGAGTCATACAGCACATCCCTCATCAGGACGTGGCTGGAAACTCCCTGTTTTACTTTTGTGGCCGCCATTTAAGCAGAGGGGTCAGGGACGTAACCAGTGATAGGGAGACAAGTGTTTCACAGACTCCTGACAAAAGAACAGCCCTCATGTGTAGCCTTGGCTGGTTTCCGTGGTGCAAATGCCCCCCAGAGGCTGATCTGAACCTACCCAGGTGGTGGTGGGAAGACTTGCAGGTCAGCGCCAGCATGTTCTGGAAAATCCCCCAGTGTCCTGGAAAGTAGCTCATTAACTTAGCCCATGGCTTTCACTGATGCTGGTTCAGCACCCCTGAGTACACAGCATTGCTCTAACAGGTCTGAATGTACTTTTTGTCTCATAAAGTGTTGGCAAGAATTTTAAATACAAGGTTGGCAACATCTGTGAGCTTGGATTATTCGATCCATTCCTCTGCCTGCCAGTATGTTGACTCCAGGAGACGATAGTGCAGTTGGAACTTGTCAGAATAAATCTAATAGAGCTGGCCCCTGACTTGCGCAGTTCTGTCACATGGCCTTATACAATCAGGATTTTGTGTGAGCTCAGCACACATTCAGTACACCTGGACTTCTGAGCGAGAAGCCTGTCGAGATAGCAATGTCAAACCTCCCATATTACCCACAAACAAAAGCCTCTGTTTACCATTGTTGGGCTTCAATTCTGACACTCTGTTCTTTTGAAATAAATGCCATGTGGCATTTGAAGCCTTTTTCTTTAAAAGTCCCATTTCATCAAAATCAGAGATTTATTGTGCCGGTTATATCGCCCTGTTGTTTGCAATAGTTTCACACTTCGTGAGATCCATTATTGCTGTTCTTACTATAACCAGCAGCTTCTCTGCTCACTCTCCTGTTCTCAACATTTCCATGAGTTTGAAACTCCCGGGGGTACCCTTCCCTTGCCCATCCTGAGGACCACACTTTGTCTTCACATTTATTTTCTAGTCTTTTCAGAGCCATTCATCTAAAGTGCACACGTGGTTTTTCAGCTATATTCTTTTTTATTGACTTTCATTTCCAAATCACAGTGGAGCCCAGCCTAGTCACTATCTGTGAACTTGAGTGTGATGGAAACTTTAGCTCTATTTTTGGTTGTTTGTTTTGCCAGTGCCGTCACTCTAAACATCTTCACGTGGAAGCAGTAAATCAGGTCCATGTGCCCTGGAGCAGGGGAGAATCAGCCAGATTTCTCCCGCTGCTTGCTCTGATTCAGGCACTGAGGCAGCATCCTGTGTGCTGGCTATTGCTTGGGCCCTTTCTGGGCACCGTCACACCCAGTAAATGAGAATGAGCAAGGGGAAGGTGTGGAACAGCAAGGAGAGAACCCGCCAGAGACTGGAGTTTTCATCTTCCGGGGGCCCCAAGCGACTTGGCTTTTCATTCGTGGCTTTCCCCAGCTCACAGAGCGAGGTTTACTTTGCATTTCCTTGAACTTTCCTTTACTTCCCTTTCCTTGAATTTTGAATACAGGTCTCACAGGGGTAGCGGTTCAGGAGATTCGATTGCTCCAGCTGTATGTATGTCACCCTGGAGCATCTGTAGTTAAATCTTTTCTTATTTTCTGTAGCCTTTGTATATGACAAACTATTTACAAGTTAAATTTATTTTTATTAAGTAATTTAACATAAATTCAATTACTACTTGTTTTTCCTAACCACTTTATAATTCATATAATATAATTCATATACCATAAAATTCACTCTTTTCCAGTGTACAATTCAGTGACTTTTAGTATATCCACAGAGTTAATAGTATAGCACCTTCATCATGCTGAAAAGAAGCCCCATAGTCATTCCTTTCCATTTCTTTCCAGCCCTCCCTGCCATAAGCAACCACTAATTAACCACTAATTCACCTTCTGTCTCCATGGACTACCTGTTCTAGAAATTTTCTATAAATAGACTCATGCAATGTTAATCTTTTTGTGAGCTTCTTTTATTTTACAAAATAAAATATTGAGCCTTTATTCCTTTTTCATGGTAGTATAGTATTTCGCTGTACAAATACGATGTGTTTTATTTGTCCTCTCATCAGCTGAGGGACATGTTAAGATATAAGGTTGTCCTCATATTTTAATAAATAAATGGTGATTTATATGTACAAGGGTGTTTATTAAAGCAGCATTATTTGTGATGATGAAATAATACAAACTTTTTAATATACACTGTTTATACTGGCAATGTTTATATGTACTTTCTGTCCCTCTTCTGGAATTCTATAGAACAGTTAGCAAATGAATGAGGTAGACCTATGTGTCAATATGAAAAGAATGTCTAGAACTATTTAAGTGAATTAGGGCACTTGTGGCACAGGGATTAAAGTCTGGGCACTATCAAGCTATCACCAGCTAATGCAGCATGAGTTTGATCCTAGGCTAAGGGAGGTGACCCACATGGCGCAGCCGACCTCCCCTGTCTTGCCCACTGCTCCCCTCAGCAGTATATTTCAGTAGATCAGCCTCTTCTGCTCCTCCCCTTATCTCTGATGAATCCTGTCACCAGCCCCCTCACACCTCTGGCCTATTCCCCAGTTCTTATATGCATAAATAAATAAAAATAAATCTCTTAAAAATATGTAACTGAATTATACAGCAGTACAGATGATAAGGTCTCATTTTTGAAGGAGAAAGCACTACTAGATATACATACAGATGCATGCAAACAAATGCCTAGAAAAAGTCTAGAGAGATATATATTACTAATAATGCCCATTACTAAGGAAGAGGATTAGCATTGGGGTAGAAAAGAAAAATAATTAAGGATGGAGACCGGGGAGGGGGAGAGTCATCACCTTTTATGCTGTTTTCTGTGTTTGAATTTTCTTAAGTAATGAAAATGTATTTATCTAAGAGCAGTTTTTATGACTAATTCTGCATAATTTGCCATGTGTATCAAGGATAGTCGCCCAGCACAGGTATCAGGATGTTTAGATTGTTTCTCATCATTTGCCATTAGGAGTGTTGCTTTAGGGAACAGCAGCTTCTTTGCATAAAAGGCATTGTCTCTATTTTAGAATCTTAGGCTGACTTCCAGGAATGGAATCATTGGATCAAAGGGAATGAACCTTTTGAAGGCTCAGATTTTATGTTGCTTCTCAAAAGGCTTGTGCTTTGTAACCCCCACCAGCGGTAGCTGGAAATGCTCTTTGCATCCCCACTGCTGCGAGATTTCTTTAAAAAAGATACTCACTTGTTTGGGGGGAAAAATGGTAGTTTCTCATTGTGGATTTAATGTGTCTTTTTTTGATAGCTGGAGAAAAAGGAAGATTTTTGTCCAAGTGTGTCATCTTTTTATGTTTTGTTAGTGGGCAGACTGAGGGGCAGGCAGTCTGGGACCCCAAGCTTTGCATGCTCTAAAAGCCATTTACTATATAAAGACAAAACAAACTCTTAGTGCCTAAGACCTTCAATAGAAAAGAACCTTAATAGAGTCGATGTGCAATAGAGAGAAGAAAGGATAATCGTTTCCAACGAGACAGCCAAAGCCATCCGTCCCCTCACGGCCAAGTGCCCAGCCAAAGAGAGTTGGCCCAAAGCAGGACCACGGAGGTCCAAAGTCTTGGCAGGCACCTTCTGGCAGGCAGCCACAGAAAGCAGCAGAAGGGACCAGGTGCATCGGGAAGGAAGGGAGCAAAATCAAAGTGCTTGTCAAGACAAAGGCCGCCATTGTCAGCCTCCCTGTGGGCCTCTCAACTGCTCTCATCTCTGTCAAGTGTCTCCTTCCATGTCCCCCAGGCTCTGGTGCAAGTCCAAGGCTGAGAAGCTACCCGGCTGCTTGCTTCTCACAGGTCTGCTTCAGGTGCTTCCTCCAAGTCTCCTCCTCAAGTCCTTTCTAGCCTCCCCTCCTGCTCAGCTCCACTCTTCATTAGGTGGGACAGGGGTAGGGAACAGTTTAGATTGCACTATTATATTCTGCACTATATTATATTATGCACTGTTATATTCTGTCTTGTAAATTGACCGTTAGGGCATTTGCCCATTTGTCTATATCTGACCACTCTAAGGTCTTCCTGATTTTCCTTGTTGATTTGTAAATGTTCTGTGGAAAGAGTCTCTCTCTCTCTATATAAAAATATAAAGGATAATTGCTTGCTTTTGAAACATTTTTTGGTTTTCTTTAACTTAATTTATCATTATTGTGTGCTTATGGAAATATAACATGTAAACATACAGTACTATGTCTTTTTTACGATTCTTTTTTCCATGTCTTTTATTCATGAGAAATGTTCTCTCCCCCTTGGAGATCTGATAGATTTCATATTCTCACCCACCACCCATTGCTTTAAAGATATTTGATTGTTCAAGCATTGTCTCAAGACCGTAGAGTGCAGTTTTTAGAATGCCTGGTTGGGGAAGTCTGGGTTTCTCTTGTCTTTATGGCTTTGTTTCTGGAAAACCTTCAGAAGTTTTCCTCCCCGTGAGCCTTCTGTGGCCCCAGGCCATGCCTCTCACCACCGACCGCCACGAGGGGGCACCCTGCGCTCTTCTTCCTTCCCTTGCTCTCTGGCGCAAACCTGCTTCCTAGCCCGAGGGGGAGCTCGAGAGCCCCCCAGAAGATGAGAGACACCGCCTCTCTGCTCACCCTTTATCCCTTCTAACACCCAAAGGCAAGGCAAGATTCCAAAGTCGTATTTCAGTGGCCTCCTGGAAAATAAAAAATTTTAAAAGCAGATTTTTCCAGTGTCCAGAATTTCCAGTGACTACCCCAAATACATCCATTTTTAAGCTTGAATTGATGATAAATTAATACTTACAGAAAACCTGAGGATCAGCTTCCTCCCCTGGTCATGTGTGGCCTTGTTTGGGGGTCTTTGAAGAAAAGCGTGCTCCCCAAGTAAGCTTTTTAGTTTTGCTTGATGATACCGAGGGCAACTCTAACAGTGAGGGCTCCTTTGTGAGAGCGGCTGTTTGACATTAAGGGTGGGCACTATCATTGTTGTGGCAGATGGGAAACAGACAGAACCCAAACAGAATGCTGTTAAGGAGGAAGTTGCCTGAAGACCTTCTTATGAATGGACCAGAAAGGAAGCCTCCCCCTGCCCCCCCACTCCCACCCCCACCCCAGCTGCTTGGCTGCCAGGTCCTGACTTGGAGAGTGTGAGAAAGAGTAGGATGAGGAGGGGATCTTAGGCCAACCCGGGGCTGTAGAGAAGGAGAAGCTTTCAGAGTTTGCTGAGCCTCATTTATTTTTTGCTGTTACTTAAAGACCTGTCTGTAAGGCCATGTGCATTTAAAGACCTATTTCTACTTTAAGTGAAAAGCTTTAAAAGATAAATACTAAATAAGCATCCATTATTTTGGTCATTCATTTCCAAAATATCTCATCCCTTTTGCCAGAGGGATGGGTTCCAGGAAAGGCTTGCTGTGTTTTCGCGAGGACGTCCCAAGTCTGACGTGCTCTGTCAAGCCGAAGGGCTGCCCAGGTGTTGCAGAGTCCATCCTTCTCAATTTGGCTCTGGTTTGTGCCAGGAAGGTTAATAATACTTTGGAAACAGATGTTTCAAACCCACTGATAAGTCGTTATTATCTATTCCTGAACATAAAGATTGAGGCTTTCAGGGATCTGTAAAACAGGAAAGCCAAGTTCTTTTCCAATAAGTCAGATCTCATTTCTACAGGACTGAAAAAACACTCTGCTTTTGAGTTTTCGTTGGCCAGCAGGTCCTGCTGTTTCATCACCATCCTATGAGCACTTTGAGCAAAGTGCCATCTAACTTTCTTTAGTCTTCCTGGACAGTCTAGGAGACTCCTTTGTGCCATACTGGGAGGTGATGGAGATTTAGATGCTAGAACCATGAAGCTTGTTTTGTCCTCTGAGAGGTTGTTGGGCAAGGGATCCCATTAACCCTTTCTGTCAGGATGGACTTACTTTCTGAAGTTCAACTCTTGAAATGTCCTGTCATGAGAACTCAGGCTTATTCATGCACAATCACTCCTCAGCATAACCTCTGAGGTGGGCACTAGCTACCAACTTACAGAATATTGAAGCTTGGAGACGAAGGTAGGCAAGCTTCCTGGGTTCCATGTTGAATCAAGGTAGTTTCCTGTGTTGGAACAGGTCTGCTGACTCAGGAACTCACTTTCTTATCTGTAACCCTAGATATTTCACCACCCAGCCATTAAGCTAATCTGAGTATGAAGAAGCAAGCCTGAGATAGATAGATAGATAGATAGATAGATAGATAGATAGATAGATAGATAGATAGATAGATAGATAGATAGATGGTGGGTAGATGGAAGGATTTAGATCAGGGATGTAGGCCTATAGCTATAGGCAAGTACTGAGTGAATAATGAATTCTATATGTTAAAGAGAATTTTGGCTTCATTTAACCAAGTCACTGGCACAGCACTTTTCTCTTTGGGAAGACTGGCCCCTGCTCAGCACTTAGGTTTCATAAAATTTCAGGTACAACCATTTTCTTTTACTGTCTTTGACCTGTCAGTCTTCTGTGTGTTTTCTTTAGAGTCTGTGCTTTCTTTACAGTCCACCTACCTGCGTTGACTTGTCCTATTTGGAAATGAGGAATTTTACCATAATAAAAAAAATGATCATGTTGAGTGACCACCAAATATGAAGTTCTAAGAGCTTAACTTAAAAAAGAAAATTTGAGAAAGACATTAGTACTATTTTTTTAAATTTTATAATAGTTTATTTTTACATCATTTTGTACATTATTTTTTTCCATCTCAATTGTAATCCCCGCGGGTTTCCCATCACCAAGTCACCCATGTACCATCACCATAATTCCGTGCACTTCCCTCCCCACCCCCCCATTTTTGATCCCATTCCCCACTCCACCCCCACAAAATGTCTCTGGTATATGGTTGTTCATTATTCTTGTTATTTTCTCGCCTGTTCCATTATACTCCTGCTGTGAGTGAAACCATCTGGTATTTTTCTAGAAAGGCATTAGTACTATTTTAAATGCTGTTCTAAAATAGAGCCCATGGAATCGCCTTTGCCTGGAGTCCATTGGGAGCGAGGGTGAAAGAGTAAGACAGGCGGAGGGCACAGTGGCCTGCTTATTACCCATAGAGTGGATCCTGGAGAATGGCTTCAGGGCATCAAGTGGGGTACCCCAGGTGCCCTGCCCTCCCAGTAGGGCCCCATCCCACTCCCCAGGTGGGGGCTGAGCTCACCCACCCTTAGAAAGCTCAGCCCCTGGGGGATCCCTCTGGGTAAGGGAGTGGGCTGGGCTTGGGCTGCTGGCCTGCTGATCCCTAGTCAGATGAGCCTCACCTCTGCGCCTTGGTGTGCCTCGAGGCCCCCAAGGAGGTGGAGGAAACCGCACTCCCCTCGCGGAGAGGGAGGAGAATCTAGACTTAGCTCTCTGGTGTGAGCACTAATTGGATATCTGAACCTGGATATCTGTAGCGAGTTTAACTGGCAGCAGCTAGGCCAAGTAACTTGCTTCTGTTCTGTTTAAACCTTTAGATTCTTGGCTATCAGAACACCATTTTCTTTGGTGGAGACTGTGTGTCCATGATCGATTACCTCTTTTGGCCCTGGTTTGAGCGCCTGGATGTATATGGAATAGCCGAGTAAGACCTTGGGCCCTGTGGCCACGTCACACTTGTTGGTTCCTGCAGTCTCACTGGGTGGCGAGGGGGGCATGCTCGGGGGCCACTTACTCCCCTTTGGGCATTTCTCACCATATAGGTGAAAAGAACCCAGGGTTTCATCTTGTGTTTCCCTGGTGAAAATGACTCTGTGACCTTCTGCACTGAGACGGTGTCCAAAAGCCGCCCCTAGTCTCCACAGCACCCCCAGGAGTCTCCCTGCCCCCCCCCAAAGCTGGTGACAGCCTCAGCCACAGGGTTCTGCTGACCTGTGCCTCCTTGGCCCTCCTCCTGGTCCTGCTCAGTCACCACTTAGTTCTCCAGGCAGGAATCTCCCCAGACAGGACTATGCTTAAAAAACACCTATAATTTAAAAAGTAATATCTGCTTCATGTGAAAAACAATGAATGAAATGGCCAACTCTGTGTCCTAGAAGCATAGGGGAAGAAGTTGTCTGTACACTTGGGGAGACCATGTAAGGCCCCTGGACAGAACAAACCTTTGCACCATGAGGCTGGGGTGCTGGACAGCCCTAGGGCCTGGGAACCCCACCCTGCCCAGGCCCCATGTGCCCCCTTGAGCACAGGCCTGGGTCCTGCCAACCCATCTGCTGACTTCTCTGCCAGCGGTCTCCGAGGGAAGCAGCCCTGACGAGGATGTGGTAAACTGTCTCACACGAACATGACAACATCCTGCCTCCTCAGGGTTCCAGGCTGAACCCTCACCTCTGCTCCTGGACTTCCCACTAAGCAGCTGTTGTTCTCGAGCAAGTCACGTGACATACCCCAGCCTAGATTGCTTGGTGCATCTTTGCAAGGGCTCAGCTCGCCCCACTCTTCCCAGCTTTGAGGCTGGTTGGACTCATTTTGGAGAAAGGGTTTTCCTTTTATTTTCAGACCTCTTAAAGTAGAATCTGAAAAGGGAATAAGAGGCATGTGCCCTCGTTAGCAAGTAGGGAAGCACAGCCCCCGGCCCTCCCAGATGTGGACAGGCATTTAGCCAGGCGGTTACCAGGAGCAGCAATGCACAGCTTTCTCCAAGTGAGACCGAGCGCCAGCAAAGGACGTTCATGAGACGGTAGCTTGACCAACATGACCGTCTTGCCCACGTAAATGCACTTTCGTACCTCGCCAATGGGAAGTGGGGTGGGTGCTCCTTTCCTGCTGCTCTCCCTGGAGGCAGCACCTGACACTTCTCTCCTGTCCTGCAGCTGTTTGAACAACACCCCCGCCCTCCGGCTCTGGATAGCGGCCATGAAACAGGACCCTGCTGTGTGTGCACTTCTCATAGATAAGAACATTTTCCTGGGCTTCTTGAATCTCTATTTTCAGAACAACCCTGACGCCTTTGACTATGGACTAAGCTGCTAAGTCTCAGGGTTCACCCTATCGCCATCCAGATTCCCAGCCCGCCATCCGATTCTGCTTTAGGAAGTGTGTTGGTGGATCAGTCAATCTCTGTTCATTTGCTCTGAGGTTCCCAATAAACGTGGAGGTGGGAAATATATTCTCTCGATGACCCTTGCTTGACTCCTCCGGCGCACGCCTCCCAGTGACTGTTTGGGACCCTCTAGTGTCCAGGGCGAACGTGCCAGCTCCATCGGGAGCCCGTGCGTCTCCCGCCCTCTGCCTTCTGCTCATTTGACATCCAGGTTATTGGTGCCGATGCTGAGGTCCAAGGCACAGCCTTTGATGTCACAACCTCCCGGTGAGAGAAAAGCCAGAGAAGCCAAGGGAGAAGGAAGCGCCCAGCCCAGACCCCCTGCATCTGGCATAACACCCTGAGTCCCTGGGGCTGTGCCCGATGTCACTGTCGCCCGGACTTTGGCTGCAGGCCTGGGTGACACTGGAGGTCTGATGACTGAAGGAATTGCGAAGCAGGAAATGAAACACCGTTATCATCCTGGACGGATACGTCAGAACTGTGCCGCTGCTGTCAGGACTGAGGATGGATCACAAAATGTTCTGCAGCCACATCCTGCCTTAAACATGCACACGCCCCAAACCCAGTCCCAGCAGAGGTCACACGCGCTCACGCATCCCAGCAGATGCCTGCCGCGTCCCCAGCCCAGGCCACGTGGGGAGCAGACGCGAAGGTGACGGGCTCGGGAGCCTCTGGCCTCCCCACTCTGCCGTTGAAGGCTGAGCCTAGTGCTCTGGGGCTGCTCTTCTGGCAGGGGCTTGTCTGTCCGGCACACTGTGGCGCCTCCACTGGCTGGGCTGGGCCTGCTCCCCCCAGGGGCCCAGGAACCTGGAAGGACCAGGAGTGGGGCAAGCTGGGCCCGGCTAGCCCCTGCCTGCGGGGGTGGGGCGGCCTGTCCAAAGTCTCTTGAGCTTCGTACTCAGCCTTCGGTTATTTCAGCTTTATGCACATGGAATCCCCCGCCTTTTTTAAGATTTATTTATGCATCCAGAACTGGGGTACAGGCCAGAGGTGCAGGGTGGTGAGAGGATTCACCAGAGACAGTGGGAGGCAGAACAGGCAGATCCACGAAGTACACTGCTGAGGGGAGCAGCGGGCGGGTCAGGAGAGGTCTGCTGTGCCATGTGGGTCACCTCCAGGCGGGGATCGAACTCATGCTGAAGTGGCTTTAGCTCCTTAGTGCTGTGCTTTAACTGCTGCGCCACCAGGGAGGGACAGAATCCCTTTCTTTTTTCCAACAACAGCCTGTTTGCTTAGCCTGCCACGTGGCATCACTTGGCTTATGAAGATAGGCTCAGGCATCATAGCCTCGGGCTTATCCATAGCAGTGTGACCTTGGTCTGCTCATTCAGCCTCTCTGTTCATGCCTTTGCATTGGTAAAGTGACATTTGACAGTGGTACCTACTGAAGAGGGTTAAGTCAGGGTGATCATATGACCTGGTTTACGTGCTTTTCCTGGATAATTAGTTAATCCTTTTACTTCCAGTTGGTCTTAGTTGGACCATAAGTTATACACTTGTGCCTTCAGTGCCCAGTGCGGGTTAGCGGCTTCCCCTGTCTGTTGCACCTGTCTACTTAAGCTCCTTTCCTTCTGCTGTTTTTACCCTGTTACCTGCCATCCCGGAGGGTGGTTTAATCGCCTGAACACTTTTTAATGACGTTCTTCGCACCTGGAACAGTCTCCCCTTCTCGTGTTCCTCCCAATCCTGTCCATGGTTTATGGGCCAGTTCACGCACCACCTTAGTTATTGACTCATGAAATATTTTGTTTATCAAATAAAAGCTTCATCGTAATGCTGTCTTGATTGGGCCAGTCAAGGAGTGCAGGGAGAAGCCGCTTACTGTTCATCTTTATGTGCCCAGCAGGGAGTTGGGACCTGCAGATACAAGAGGTCCTCCCTGGGGGGCTTCCAGTCTGGAGGCAGAGACAGCTATAATAGTCACCAGATCTCCTCGAACTTACAGTTTTGCAATTGCTGGGAAGGGATTTAACCTGTTTTGGGATTGGAAAGGACATCTTGAGGAAGTTGCTGTTGAGTTATGAAGGAAGAGTGGGAGAGACCAGGTCAGGAGGGAGAGGCCTCAGGCAAAAGGCCAAGAGGGAGCTTCAGGGGAGGGAGGTGGGCTGTGCCTCAGAGCTGAGGAAGGGGAGTGGCGGGATGGGGAGGCCAGATGTGAAGGTCAGGGTCATAGAGATCATGCTTCAGGTTCCGGTTTTTCTCGAATCTAGTGGGAAGCCAGAGTCCTTTATAGTGAGGGGTCAGTAGCTTCACAGCCTCTGAAAGGTGTACCTTCAGGAACCCAGGGTGACTTGGTGCAAAGCCAATCCCATGCCCAGGAAAACCATCCAGTCTGCTCACACAGTCCTGCCCCCGCTTGGGCCTTGCTGAGACCAGGCAGTGGTGGAGAGAAGTCTGGGCTTGTCCGCCACAGAGCCGCCTGCTGCCCCTGCCTCTGACTCAGTCCCTCCGTCTCAGTCTCAGCCTGGTCCAGCCATCTGCTGCCGCTGGGTGGGTTTTGACTCATGTAAATAGTTACCAGTGTGATTCCGTGCCAGTTTGGACAGAAGCAAGCCTGCTTGGTGAGCTGGCCCAGCCGGCCAGCTTAGGGGCCGCGTGATGGGGTCAGTCTGCTGTGCCATCTGCTCAGGATGGGGCGCACCGTTGCCATGGCACCCAAGCCTGTGCAGTCAGGGCTGTGAGTCACATTTCCGTGGGATCTTTGTGTGGCTCTCTGGCTCTCATGGGACGAGGGGACTGATCATTCTATTCTAGCGTGTGCCTGCGAGTGTCCAAGGCCAGGATTGCTTCTGATGCACCAGATAATGGCAAGATGTTCTCTTTGGGGGCCCCACATGCTCATTTAGAAAACTTGCAGAACCAGGATGAAAAGGCTGCAGGAGGTTGCTGGCCAGTGGCCCGCCCTGCAACCTGGCACCTGAATTGCCTTTCAGCCAGTGCGTGCCCTGAAGTTTGCAGGGTCACCGGCACCTCCCTCTCCTTCTTCCTCCACACCCTCATGTCACCTGTCTGACTTAAGAGAAACCTGACTTGTCAACCTCTGGATGAAACCAGGATTTAACCTGGAGAGAAAGCGCAGTTAAATAATGCAGCATGGGAAACTTCTGAGCTAGTACTTCTTGTATCAGTGCGTGTGTGTTGGAGGTGGGGAGGGGAGGGCAGAAATATTGCACCAGAGTTAAAAATATCAATGAGGGCCCTGTCTGGTGGTGCAGTGGGTAAGGATGCAGCACTGCAGGCTGGCCACAGCCTCTTCAGTGCAGGTTTGATCCTCACCCCGGAGGTGAACCACATGGCGCAGCAGACCTCTCCTGACACACCCGCTGCTCCCCTCAGCAGAGTACTTACTCATGTGCCTGTTCTGCTCCCCACTCTGTCTCTGGTGATCCTCTCACTGCCCCTGCCCTCTGGCTTATACCCCAGTTCTGTATGCATAAATAAATAAATATTTAAAAAAAACAAAAAGGAAAAAAAGTAGGAATCCTATAATCTTGTGTTCCAGAGAAAACCACGCTCAACAGTGGGTGCAGATCTTGTAGAAGTGTGATCAGCTTGAGGATTTATGGGGGAGGCCTTCTGTGCCCTGCCCAGTCAACAGCACCTTCCTCAGCTCGCACTTACTCATGTGACATTCTCACTTTTATCTCCCTCTCTGGAGTAGACGCTCCCGAGGGTGACCCAGGGCATCTTTGCCTGCTGTTTGCAGGTCCTAGCTCACTGCTAGGGACCCAGGTGCACACACCTGGTGGGTGGTTCGGAGCGGCTTTCTCTGGTTTCAGATGCGCAGATTTAGTTTCAACCAGCCTGTGGACACTCGCAGCTGGTACTTCATTCCTCCCTAGTCCCAGTTCCTCATACCCAAACCTAGTTTAGCACTTTGAATCCCAAAATCTTGCCATGTGAGTCGTAATGACGAGGATCCTAAAATCTTGCCACGTTTTACGATTCACAGTAAAACGAACTGCCTGTCCTTGGTGTGAAGAAGTGCTGGGAATCCGTTCTCTGCCCCGTGAGCATGCTATCTCCTTCGGGTGTTAAAGGGTGAAGGATTTGAAATGCCGGTGGGCCCGTCCCCTTACCAGGACGCAAGCGCGTCTGGGGCCGTGCTGCTCATGGATTCAGTGCTCACACGCACTCTGGCCAGACGTGGGCTTCTGGGCCTTGCCATTTCCTCCCAGGGTTCTGCCGCTGCTGAGAACTCCCTGTAGACAGCAAGGGCTGCAGCCTTCTCTGTCAGTGTGCGGCCTTCCTGGCGGAGAGCATGCCAGCCTGCTGCTGGAAGATCCAGCAGGGAGGAGGCATCGAGTTCTGTCCAGGCCACTGGGCCCTGGCGGTGCCGTCCTCCGAAGGGAGTCCAGCGGTCGGTGGTCATCTGTGAGCTGGAGCGGCCTTTACCAAACCGGCATCTGTGTGCCAAGCCCTGTCAAGGGCTTAGGAGACCTCTCAAAGCCGGTGTGGGATTCACATGCTCTTGTATCCTAGCATGGTAGGATGGCATCCGGATGAATAATGAAGAACCCTACAAAATGGGCGGGGGTATTTTAGCAATTCCATCATAAATAAATGAGCACTGGCTGTGCCTGGGCTGAACAGAAAGGTAGGCCCCCTTTGGGGACTTTTTCTGGACACTGTTGTGATGATCTGCTGGCAGCAGGGCTGGGGGCCACACGGACACCATAGCAGCAGGGCTTGCTTCGCCTGGAGCCTGGGGAAGACACGGCTGAGAGCCGCAGGAAGTGGGGAGGCAGCACAGTCACACAACCGCCCCTCCAAGTGCTGACTGCACGGCAGGAACTCTGCCTCTGCTGGTCACTCCTCACACCTTCTGAGGTACGAGCTGACTGCTCCCATTTTACAGCTGGGTGAACTGAGGCTGGGCGGGGCTGTGACGTGCCCAGATGCTACACAGACATGCAGACGGAGCGGAGGTCTGAGCTCTCTGCCTGTCCTCTTCCACCTCTCCCTGCACCATGACCTCCCTCCCTCCCTGCCTTCCTCGTCTGCTCCCCACTAGATGGGGAGGGCTCTCCAACCAGGAACAGAGTCCCCTTAGTAGCTGAGTTTGTTTTCTAGCACCTGGCAGGTAGCCACGATGGCCACTCCCTAAGAGTTCGTGAACGAGTCAGCTGGACGAACACACGAATGAACAAACGATAAGCCACAGAGACCTGAACCCCTGCCAGCGTCTCATATGAGGCCGCTGCCACAGCTGTTTCCCCTTGTTGCTGCTCCTGAGACTGGGGTGTCGTGCCTGACCCCCTCTCTGGCTAGTATTGCTAAGGCAGCTGCTGGAGGAGGCGCAGCAAAGGGGCCTCGAGAGCAGAGGGTCTCCAGTCTCCAGCCCCTTCAGTCAGGGCCTAAGCGTTCCCTGAGCGTGTGCATGCGCCATGGTTGGTGTGTGGGGAAGGCTTCGCGCAGGGCCCAGGAAGCCTGACCGGTGGCCGAGTGGTGGAGGCATGGAGGAGGAGAGTCGCCTTAGGGGTGAGCAGGAGTGGGGGCCTGGCCAAGGGCAGGGGCACAAACCACGCACGGCCGGTTCCGTTCATCCACCTTAAGCCGTGTTTCATTGGTGCCCTTTTTGCTTGGTCTTTTCAATGGCTCTATGAGGTGGATATGATCCCACTTTCCAGAAGCTACACTCAGAAACGGGGCTTGCTGTGTGAGGACGCGGCGTAGCTGGACTTGATGGTGGGCCCGAGCGCCTAGCACAGCCACCCCTGTGGCCTCTCAGACCCGTGGCATTCAGCAAGGCTCTGACAGCTGGCAGGGGCCCTGTGGGCAGAGCTCCCTGGGTCCTCCCTTTCCAGGAGGGACATGGGAAAATGCAGGGGTCCATCATCCACCCTCCTTGTTTCTCATTAAACACTCAGGCTGAGCAACCTCGCTGCCTGAAGTCTGGTCTTGCGCCTGGTGGGAGGAGATCTTTCTGCCCCGCCCCATGGTGACACAGTACAAGGAGCGAACAGGGTGGAGAGGGCTTCTTAGAAATCAAGGGGGGCTGAGAAATCAAGAATCTCCCTGGCCCCGAGTCTGGATCTACTTAAGGCTTCTGCTACCATCTCAGTGGGCCCTGACTCCTAGGGTAGGGGTATACCTGGGCTGACTCATCCTCCGTGGCTGGAGACATTGGGGCCCACCGGCAGCTTTGATGCCTGGGAGACTGACTCAGCACTAACCATGCCTTTTGGGAGAGACCCAAGGCCACTGTCAGTCTGGGGTGTCCACCCACTGTCCCAAGAGACCTTGGATCTAATGTTGTATAGTCCACTCTCCAGGAACAGGTGAGGTGCGGCCAAGGGGGCTGAGTCAGCCCTGGCCGGTGGGGAAGACAGCCAGTGGGGGCTTGTGAGAAGTGGGTCTTAAAGCAGCAGATGGGGCCAGATTCTTCCCAGCTCCCCCTGCCAATCCCACCTTGCACTTCGGAGACCAATCTTTTCCCATCGAGATGTCTTTGAACACCACTGGGTCTTCTGTGGTTTCATCTTGCTGGCAGATAATTTGTTGTTGTCAGATTTGTTTTCTGGTTTATTGATGGGGCTCCAGAGGCACAGAGAAGGCTAGAAAAAGACACTTTTACCTACAGAACAGGGGTCCCCCACTGTGCAGGAAGAAGCAAGCCACCTCTGGGCTGGGCCGAATGAAATACAAGCACTGAGGACAGACAACAACCTACAGTCGTGTTGGTAGGATTTTCTTGAGGTGCTTCACATGTCCCTGGTCTGTGGGAGCAGAACTTTTACAGCTCAAGCCCAGAGCTGCCCGGGGAGGTCTCCCGGGGCCCTCCCCACCGCAGGACTAGGAGCCACGTGGCTTCCCTCCCACCTACCATCCTTCATTATTCTGATTTCGTGGTCACAGTTCTTGTCTTCCTAATCAGCCTGCTTGTTTGGGACAAAGCCCTGGTCTGGCACGTCTCCCACCTAACACCTGGTCATGGTGGAACACGTCTGCTGCTTGGTCTTGCTTCCTCCACCTGCTGGGGTGGGAACATTCAATCAGTCCCAGGCAATAGCTTACCTTGATGGTAAGATGCTTGGTGGTGAAGTCCCTAGAGCAAGGAGTACAGAATAGTGGGGTTCCCAGCGAGGGTCATCTCACAGCAGGTCTTATGCAGAGATGGTCACTGTGGAGTTGTTTATAATAGCCCCCCCCCAAAGAGAGAGAGACTGCAGGACTTGGGGAGGTTGGGGTTGGCTAGTAGCCACACATAGAGTGAGATCAGTAAGCAGCTATTTTAAAGAGTAGTGTATCCACACAAGTGGCACATGCAGGTTTTTGGAAGGGCCACAAAATTTGTATTGGTGAGCACTGGGGAATGGGCTGGGAATTTTTTATCTGTTACTTTTCTGTCCGTTGGATTTTTTTACCATGACTGTATTGTTTTTATTAAAAAAAAAAAAGAGCTAGTTAGAAAAACAAGCTATCTTTGGAAGGTGATGAGAAAGTTAGCTCTCAAGATGCCCCTTCCAGAGCGGGGGGCGCAGAGGAGGGTGAAGTGGGCGGGAGGCGGCCGGTCAAGGCACATTTCCTTCGCTGGGCTTTTTGGCCCCTGCTCAGGGCCAGCTGGCCAAACCAAACAACCTCCAGTCCCACGAGGTGGAGATGGCCAGGGCCTGAGAACATTCTGAACCACAGTCTTCGGAGTGACTTGAGTTAGGACTTTTGGGACAGTCACGGACCGCTCGGGACCCGGGTAGCCCCCCAGTAGCATCCTGAGGGCTTCCCTGTTTGGGGCCAATCAAGACATGACTCACTCAGAAACTGCCCAGTGCTATTGCAGGGAAGCCTGCACTTACCTCTGGAGGTCAAGGCTTTGAACTGTGTGTGGTCAGCTCCCCTCAACATCGCCAGCCTCTCAGGCCTCCGTTTCTGGGTGTTTACCAGCACAGACACCAGCACTGTCTGGGTTCCAATCCTGGCTTTGCTGCTAACTAGTCTGTGACCTTGGACACGTCACTTAATGTTTCTGTGCTTGTTTCATCTGGACAGTGGGGCAGATGTGACACCACCATCCACGGGGTGGCGCAGGGTGAGGGTGCCGGCCTATGTGAAGGTATGTAGAAGGGCGCCGGGCCCCAGTAGGAGCTGCTAACACACTGTGCAAATCTACTGTGCTGACTCACCTCCAGGCCACGGCCGCAGCGCCTTTCCTGTCCACCCTTCAGAAGCTGTCAGGCAGCACCCTACCCTGATCTCTGGCATCAGAATCACCTGTGGGCCTGTGCAGAAAAATGCACATTCCTATGACAGACTCCTAGCGATTCCACTGGGTCTGGCTGAGAAACCTGTGCCTGGTGACACACCACCCAGGGCAGGGCAGGGCCACCCCTGGAGAAGCAGATCCTAACAGGTCTTTGGCCCGTCAGCAGTGCTTCCATCTTTCCTGGGGTCCTGTTCACCAGGGCACAGACCGGCCCCCTTGGTTTTCCCACCTGCGGGGCTCTGGACAGATGCTGTGGACATGAGCGACCGCTGGAGAGTGCTCCCAGCTCTCCTCCCCACCCACGCCCTGCTCGTGTCACGTGTGTGGCTGCATTTACGTAAAGCTTGTGGTTCAGCTGAGCCCACCCAGGGCCCAAGCGGGCTCCTCGGCCTTTCCTAGGTCTGTCTTCCAGTAGCTCTGTGGGAAAGCAGTCCGCTGGCTTTCCTAGTTCTTGGCCTTGGACCAAGCTCATCAGATGATTCTGATGACATCCCTGATTACAAGCCCAACATGCTAGTGCTGTGTTAAGGCAGAGAGTAGATGCTTGCAGCTTTTGTGGGTGCAGGCCACCTCTTTCCTGGAAAGCCAAACCCTCCTTCCCTATTGAGCTTCACACTTCATTGCACCTAGCAGGCTGTGTCTTGGAATCCACTGACAGCTAGCCTTCAAAGGCCCTTTCTAGAACTCTGCAGGCTGCCTCAAAGATAGGCTAGATACGTTCTATTTTGTTATTTTAAACTTTCCTGAAAGTGTCAGAATCTAAAGGGAGTGAAAGCTTCTGCTCCTCAATAGGAAATCCAACCTCCCACCCCAGCTCTGCCCTGGGGACCACACAGATTTCCTGAAGTTACAAACACACACGTGGCCAGTTTCCACTCCTTGCAAGATTTAATTCTTCCTTTCATATAAATAAGGCAGCATGAAACACCAAGAGCCCCACTGCTTTCTGCTTCAAAAGCATCTTTGGTGCATAAAAGATCCCCTTGCCCACACTGAGTTGTCTTCTCGGAATAAACAAGAGGCCAGGAGGTATTTTTCCAGTAAACTTTCTCTTGGAAGCAAAGGAGAAGCTCCCTGGAGGGAGATTCAGGCTTGGTCTTGGCTTCTTAAGGCTGGTTCTAGGCTGCTGGGGTCTCTTCAGCGCACAATGAAAGGGTGAAGAGGGGAAGGAAAAAGCAGAAGTGACAATAAATAAGGACATCCACCCCATTCTGGCAATGAAGACAAGGATGGGAGCACGGGGCTGGGTGAGAGGACACCAGGCCAGTTCACTCCTGGAGTGCAGTGGGGGCTGTTGTGGGGCTAGGGAGGGGCTGCCCCAAGGTTGCTGGTCAAACTCCAGCGCCCACAGGAAGGTGTCCCCAGCAGCCCATCACGGCCGAGTCTGAGAAGCAAGCCACCCATCCTCTCGGGCTTGCTGAGCCCTGGTGAGTCCACACCTGGACCGAGGGCAGGACCCTGCCTCAGTTCGTGGTGAGCCCAGCAGCCCATGGGCCTGGGATGGCTGTCCAGACGCACGGCCAGCTGAAACCTGGAGTGAGCAAGTGCGGGTGCAGACGTGCTTGTCTCTTCACCATGGGCCCTCTGTGAGGGTTACTGAGGCAGTACCAAGAGGAAACCCCAAAGTGAAGCCACGCGGAGAGGCTGCTTTCCAGCCTTCCCTATGCCCCCAGGGCTGCCCCGTGTCCCGTCAGCCGAGCCGGTTCGCATCTGCAGGCCTTTATCTGTGTGATACGCGAGGCCATCCAGGAAGGGCGTGGTGAGGGAGCCCTGTGTAGTGAACAGCTGACAGGGCCTGGGGTCTGCATGGGAGCTGGGGGTCCACAGCAGCTCTTGCTCCAGGCAGGCCCTGCTCTGGGACAGGCGCCCTCAGCAGAACCCGGGGGCAATGGTGTCCCTCACCACCCGGCTCTGCCTCTCTGAAGTGGGTACCAGTGCCACACTGTGAGCCCAGCAGCCAGGTACCAGGCCTGGGACACTCGATGTCTCTGTCGAGGTCAGCTTCTATCTCCTGTGTAGGCCCTCTCCATACCTACCGCATGTGGTCAGGGACCAGCCATGGAGAGAATGAAGGGGTGAGGGGCTGAGCTTGTACCTAGCATGGTGGGTGACCCAGCGTGTCCGGAAACACGCTGAGGGCAGAGGCAGGGAAGAGCGCATGAACCCTGAGTGAAACACATAGTTGAAAAAGCGGCAACGGAGACGTCTCACTGACACCAAGTACCCCTTCTGTGCAAGCCGCTGGGGCCTTGAGTCTCTAGGTCTCTTCTCCAATGGTATAAAACCCGGCAGCTTCGTGAGAGCCCCAGCATGCAGGCCGGGGGAAGGCTGCAGATTCCCACGCATGTCCCTTTTCGCACGCCGGCTGCAGATGCCGGCAACCAGGAGTGACCGTCTGGAAATAAAAGGGCAGGGTCTTCTCACGGTTGCTGTCGGGATTCCTGCAGCCCCTCCGCTGGTATTCAAGTCAAGGCTGGGCTGGGGATGTAAGCGGACACCCAAGTCAGCATTCGGCTCTAACTCAGTGTCTGTAGAAGGTTCTGCCATTACCTTGGCCGTTTGTGGCGATCCAAAAGTAAGCTGCAAAGGGTCGGCCCCTCGCCCAGATGACAGCAGCACCAGCAGCCCAACAGCGTGAACGCAAGCCAGCTTCCAGCTGGGGCCGGTCTCCTGGGTACTGGCTTCCCCGCTGGGCTGAGCCCTGAGCCTCAGCAAGGCCCGTTGTCTTCCCGGGACAGAGCTGCAGGCCTGGGGTGGGACATGCACGATGCCTGTCCCGGCCTCCGGGTGCCGGCGGCTCTACAAGGTGACGGCTTTGGGGGGCAGGCTGGTGTGGTCGGACGGGACATGCAGGGAGTACTCGCTGATGAGGGCCGGGGCGTTCCTGAGCATCTCATAGAAGGAGTCCACCGTCTTCCGATAGAGACTCCGCTGGAGGACGAAGGGCCGGAAGAGGTTGAGCGGCTCGGCCCTGCGCACGGCCTCCGGGAGCCCCATGGCCTCAGGTACCTTGCGGTTGCCAATGAAGAAGTGATGGAGCTTCTTCTCCAGCAAGCTCTTCTCCAGGAAGCAGAGCAGCTCGTGCAGACGCGCGTCCAGCTGGCCGGCCTTCCAGTCGGCCGCCCGCCGCGCCAGCAGGAGGTGCAGCAGGGCGGTCTTCAGGTGGTAGTTGCTGAGCGCGCTGGGGCCCGTCAGCCGGCGCTGCTTGGAGAGCAGGAACGAGGCGATCTGCAAGCAGCTGAGGTGGCAGGCCCCCTCGGGCAGCGCCTTGGAGGTCGTCCTGAGGAAGTGTCGCTCGTAGACGGCGAAGGACAGGAGCCAGTCGGTGCTGGAAGCCGGGCCGCCCCCAGAGGGCTCCCCGGGGAGGTGGGACACGAAGTACAGGTCCGAGTCGTCGCACTGGATCACTGGAATCAGGCTGAAGGGCATGAACTTGCCAGAGCGGAACTTGATCCTGAGGGACCCTGGCGTGTCCAGATGGCCAAAGGCCAGGTCGAACTCATACTTGTGGGCGATGCGGTGCCAGGCCCTGGTGAGGGCCGTCTGGAACCACTTCATGACCTGCATCGTGTCGAGGTACGGGGAATCTGGGGCACACAGCAAGACCCCCGCCTCGCTGCCGGGGCGCCCCAAACTGTTCTTGCCGTGCAGGAGACACAGCATGTCTTCCCCAAGCTTGGTCTTGCCGCAGATACAGCCCAGCGTGGCCTCCTCGGCCCCGACCACCTTGACCTGGCCGTAGCCCTGGCGATCCAAGGGCACCGGATGGCCAGCGCAACAGAGCTGGGGCTGGAAGCGGTAGGGCTCGGGAGGCGTGAAGGGCACAAAGAGCTCACACAGCAGCGGCCTGTCCACCTGCCAGTTCTCGTACATGCTGTCCACGCCGATGAAGTCCTCCACCTCCATGTCCGTGTCCCGGTTGCAAAGGCTCCGCAGGGCCTCCAGCAGGTCGTCCACGAAGCCCTCCACGAACTCCCGCGTGCGCGCGGCGTCCGCCGTCGCCCCGCGGATGCAGCGCTCGTAGAAGTGGCCAAGCGTGGCCTTGTCGGGCAGGGTGAGGCCCCGCAGCGGGGCCCCCTGCAGGCCGGGCAGCTCGTCCTCGTCCCCGCCCAGGCACTCGGTTGAGGGCCCGTCCTGGTGGTCCTGTCGCCACACCTCGATCACCAGGAAGAGGATCATGCACAGGGTGCTCCAGAGGTCCCAGGCCGCGCGGGTCTCGTTCTGCTGCTGGCCCTCCTCCGCCACCCGCTCCAGCGCCTCCTTCTCCGTCGCCAGCCGCGCCACTTCCTCTTCCAGGCGCAGCTGCTCCAGCTGCAGCTTCTCCTGGTGCTCCCGCATCTTTCGGATGATCTCCTCCTCGTTCTCCGGGACCGTGGCGTTCTCCCTCGGGAAGAGCAGCGGGTGGTTGATGATGGCGGTCACCACCACCAGGCACACCCGGAAGAGCCCCAGGGCCATGGCTGGAGTGTCCCTGGAACCCAAAGGCAGATGGTGAGACTGACCTTCCTCCGGTGCCACTTCTTCCCCGGACCCTGGCACTGTCCCTTCAAACTGATCTGGAGAACGTCTTAAGGTCCTTCTCCCACCCAGCCCACAGCCTCCCTCCTGTCTCAGGGCCGCCGTGGGAGAAAGAAGCCCAAAGGCCCACACCAACCATGCTGGCTGTGCAACTCGCCATGGCGGACCTCGTCCCAGATATTCCCACTCCTGGCAGCAGCCCCCCGCTTTCCTGGGAACCCAGTCCTTTTGTTCTCATGAGTTGGACCCGTATAACCAGGCCGAGATGGTTGGTCTATTTATCCCATGCCCCCACTGGCACTGCGAATGGCTGGCGAATGGCTCGAGGATGAGCAGATGACCAATGGGCCAACGAGAGACAAAGAATTTGCTCTGACCAATGGAAGGAAGGCTCACCCTGTTGCCCAGGCAACAGGATTATACCTGCAGCTCAGGTGGCTCTTAGCTTCCTCAAAGCGGAGGTTGCCTGAGAAAGATGCTAATATAAAGGAAGACAGACCCCCTCCCCTCGGCCACCTCCAGCTGGGCCTGAACTCTGGGGAATCAACATATACCCCTAAAGGTTCAGTTGAGTTGTTTTTGCACTACTTGAAACCAAGGTAGGCCCGACTCAGACATGCCCTTCTCTCTTTTTGGCAAGCGTGTCTTTCCTCAAGGTGGGAAAGCCTAGTGGGTAAGAACAAGAAGCTGGGCTCCAAGGCGCGTCAGTCATTGAGAATCGGAGTGGCCTCGGGGGGTACTCTCCCGATCTGCAAGGCCCTAGCCCAAGTTCAGACACCAATCTCCTGGGTGGCCCCCATCATGCCCCCGACAATCTCAGGGACCACCAGAGCAGCTGGGTCTGGTTTTCCTCTTACGAGGTGGCTGAACTTTACAGCCAACATTTTTTTTAAAGATTTATTTGATTTATTTGTGAATACTGGGGTGGAGGCCAGAGGTGAGGGGGCGAGAGGCTTCACCAGAGAACGTGGGCAGCAGAACAGGAGGATCTACTGCTGAGGGGAGCAGCAGCTGGGCCACAGCTCAGATCCCAGGCAGGGATCCACTCACACCACAGTGGCTGGTGATAGCTTGATAGCGCTAAAGTTTAACCCCTGAGCCACCGGGGAGGCCCTTCACTCAACTTCTTAATTGTGAAAGGAGTATGTCATTCCTCCATGGTAAATGGATTTTTAGAACCCCTGATAGTCAAACTCCCAGCAGCTATGACAGAATTGTCGAAATGCAGAATCTCAGCCCTTCCCTCTGCATGCACCAGAATTGGAAGTTTTCCTGCATCTATTTTTTTTTAAAGGTTTATTTATTTGTGTATACAGAACTGGGGTACAGGCCAGAGGCTCGGGTGGTGAGAGACTTCACCAGAGACAGAGTGGGGAGCAGAACAGGCAGATCTACGAAGTACACTGCTGAGGGGAGCAGCGGGCAGGTCAGGAGAGGTCTGCCACGCCATGTGGTCACCTCCGGGGCAGGCGGGAATCGAACTCATGCGGAAGTGGCTTTAGCTTCTCAGTGCTGCGCTTTAACCCGCTGCGCCACCAGGGAGGGCCTCCTGTGTCTATTTTTTAAAAAAGATTTATTTATTTATGCATATAAGAGCAGGGGTATAGGCCAGGGGTGCTGGGGGGAGGAGGTGAGAGGATTCATCAGAGACAGAGTGGGGCGCAGAACAGGCAGATCTACTGATATACACCATTGAGGGGAGCAGCAGGGAGACAGGAGAGGTCTGCTGTGCCATGTGGGTCACTTCCTGGCCAGGACCTAACTCGTGCTGCAGTGGCTGCGGAGAGCTTCACAGTGCTGTGTTTGAACCCGCTGCGCCACCAGGGAGGGCCCCCTATCGCTATCTTAAATCCTGAGCAGCAGAGAATCCTTACATTACATCCACTCTTCTCCCTAGCAGGGCCCTTGAGAATGACCCATCTGCCTTTTCCACACTTGCCCAGTCCCTTACCTGCCCCTGACCTCAGTGAGAAGAGCAAATGACCAAAAAGAGAAACCAAAGGGTTCCTCCCCTCCCCTTTGGGTATGTGCCAACGCACGCTGGTAGAAGCTTCTGGGTCTGGTCTGAGCCCCTTTCCTGACCTTGAATTTACGTCTTGAAAGCCACCCATTCTGGCCCTTAGCCTAATGGTGCCAAGGAGTGGGAATCTATCGCCAGGGCAGGACACCTGTACAGCTTCCACCTGGCAGTGCCAGCTGGCTGAATTGCCAGGCTTGGGCAAAGCCTGCTCAGATGTGACTCCACCCTGCCACCGCTGCATGTGTCAGCAAGAACCCAAAGGGCTTGGGGGGAGGGGCAGCTGCGGCAGACTTCAGCGCACAGACAACTGCAGGCCTCGGGGTGACCCCTGCAGCACCTGTGTGCTTTCTCCTGGGGAGGAGATGGAGGGCAGGAGAAAGTGGAGGAAGTCAGATGGCAAGGCGGGTGCAGTGAGGAACAGGTCCGGGGTGGGGGCACCCAGCCAGCTTTTCTTCCCAAGACAAGGAGCAGCTTGCTAGATAATTGCAGAAACAGGTCAGTCCTGGTTTCTACATTAGAGCAACATCAATGGAAAATTTTGCCAGGATGGTCCAAGGCAAAAGTGTGAGGTTGGCTGATTAATATGAGTCCTTTTAAGATAAAGGCGTGAGGCACTAATAGTAGCATACCAGGCGGCTGCCAGTAATTTGGGGGTTTAGAGGCACTCCTGGGCCACTTTCTGATAAGCAGCCACCTTCAGGCAGGTCCTGACAGGTCACAGCAATAACCCTTCCAACTCCCAACCCAGAGGTCAGTTTCCAAGCCAAGTCCTGTGGATGCCACCAGCTGGAGAGTGACACCCCACAGAGCCTCATGACTGGGAGGGGAGGCCCCCTCCAGTGAGGGGCCACGTGAAGCTTAGTCTCTGTAAAATGGAAGTCATAATGCCTGCTGTTGTAAAGCTTGAACAAGATAATGCATCTGGAAGCACTTAGCAAAATGCTTGCCCTTGAGCACGTTTTCTTCCAAAAGGGTAGCTGGGCTGGGAAGGGCAGGCAGACCTGCTTGTAGGGGTCTGTGATGGAGCCGGGGCTGACGATATGGGTCACAAACAAGCCTGGCCAGGAGAGCGAGGACAGTCCGACAGGGTGGAAGGAGCCCTGCTGCCGACCTCACAGGCCAGGATTTGAATCTTGACAGCCCCTGGCTGGGGTGGGAGGAGGGGAGGGGGTGTTGGGCGACTGGGCACCACTGTGACAGGGAGCTAAGAACACAGGGTGGTTAAGAGAAAGAATGCCTGGCACAGAGACGCCCTGCAGCACCAGCTCCTTCCCCTGCGGTCTCCACAGACCTGTTTTCTGGCCTGCCCAGCACAGAAGCCTGCCCAGACCCGGGGTGTGGAGGAACACAGCCCAGAAGTGCTTCGCAAGCACAAAGACGCCCATCACTCTGCCCACCCTGCCTCCCGGCAAAGGGGAGATGCCTCAGCTCCAAGCACCCGGAGGTGGGTGCGCCCGCTGACTCACTCCTTCAGCCACCTCCACTCTGCTGGGCACAGGTGGGGCTGCAGCTGTCATTCTGGGGCTTTCACCGCTGCACTGGGAGGCACCCAGGGGATGGCGAGCAGGATGTGGCTGCACTGAGCCAGGAGATCCGGACACCCCTCCCCGAGCCTGGCACAGGGACCACAGCCCTCGGGTCCATGAGGGTCAGAACAGAGTGAAGGGGAGGGGAGCCAGATGTTTTGGCTTTTGGAGAGGGTTTGGAGAGGGACAGGACCCAGCCAGGAACTCTCACAAGTCCAAGGACATGCGCACATGTACAGACTCACTCTTCCCCATGGGCTCTGGCACTCAGTGTCAAGGATATCCAGCAGCCTTGGCCCAAGAGCTCACCTCTGCGAGCAGCCCCACCACCATGTGCTCTGAGATGCCAGTCAGTAGGCTCAACTATGAAAACAAACCTGGATCTAGGAGGGCTTTGTCTGCTTGCCAGGAAGTCGACAGGAAGCAGGCCGAGTTCCTCTCCACACCCACTCCTGCCCACAAGCTTGTGGCCCATGCAGGTCACAGCTAAACTTAGCCTGGCAAAGGGCCAGAGTCACAGGGCAGCAGGGGCAGGGGCACAGGGAGGCCTCTGTGCCCAGCGGAGGGCGCGCCTGGCAGTGGTTCACTCAGACCCTTACTCTGAACCTGGCCAGAAGCCCCAGACTGGGCAGGGGGAGGAGTCTAGGACAGTCTTCCTCTTCCTAGGGCTCCCTCATTCCTGTGTCCCGAGCCCTACAACAGCCCCACCAGAGTTTAATCCAACAAAAGTCACCAAGGATTGTTAATAGGTAATTAGGCTTAGTGAATGGAGCCCTCACTGGGCTAAGCTGGGCACTATACAGTCACCCCCTATTGCCTTCTAAGTAGTGGGGATTAGCCCAGTTTCACAGACGGGCTAACCAAACCCAGGAGACTAAGTTATTTTCTAGCCACACAACTAGAGCAGTCATAGTTGGGCTGAGATTCAAGCATGTTCTCTCTGCCACTGCTGTGAAGTCCAAGTTCTTTCCTCTGTGCTATGTGTACAAAGCACCTCCCATGCACGCACGGAACACCAACTGTGCGCACATAGAACACCAACCGTGCACGCACAGATCACCTCCTGTGCACGCACAGATCACCTCCCGTGCACGCACAGAAAGAACACCAACCGAGCACGCATGGAACACCACCTGTGCACGCACAGAACACCAACCGTGCATGCACAGATCACCTCCCGTGCACGCACAGATCACCTCCTGTGCACTCACCTACTGTGCACAAGCGCAGGCGGCTGCTGCGGGGCCCACAGCAGTGAAGGCAGCATGGTCCCAGCTGCAGAACTCTGCACCTGCACAGCACAGGCAGCCATGACGTTCCTTCAAGGGACAGAACAAGTTGGGAGGGTAAAGGACAGAGGAGCCAGGAAAAGGTAGAGGGAGAGAGTTTGGCTCTAGTTCTCCAGGA